AAGATAGGCCCAAAAACAACTCAGAGAAGAGAGAGAGAGAAAAGAATAGACCAAAGACGAGGCGTGAGCTGCATGTGATGACAAAGCATAGGATGTCTTGGCATGAGTTGCTACAGGGGCTTAGCTCCAATAGCAGACACAAGGCAGAGGAATCATACATCTCATGATCTAGACTATTGGAGTCTGTGTCACAGTACTGTGTCTGCTCGCCAAGACAGTGTTTAGTGTTCAGTTTCTAGCAGAAACACTTAAACTGTTTCCAACCAGCACAGAAATGACAAAGCTAAGAAATAAGAGAAATGTCTGGACTATCACTCGTATGCACATTTACTTGATGAAAAAAATAGGGATGTGTTGGGCACATCCTGAGAAGAAGTGAACACAAAAACACCAAACAGGCACTTAATTGGGAAACAAATGGATTAAGCTGCAGATGCCTAAAAAAACCTAAGACAAGTGTTGATGAAAGAGGTCAAAAAAGTGATGAGCTGGATTTCATCCATACTGAAACAACTACAGTAGAATATGGCGTGGAAAAATGAACAAACAAACTATTTTCAAAGGGTTAAGAATTGGGCACGCAGGCCCGTATAACATTCTGCCCTTCCACTCCGCTCCTTGCATACAATTATTCATGTGTACATTTCAAAGCTAGTAATAATAATTAAAAAAAGGAATTTAAAAAAAAAAAAACTGAATTAGAAAAAAAAAAAAATGTCTTAATTACAAATGCATTTATTTGTGTAAATAAACTGCCAGCCCTATGTAATGTATAATGTCACAAATGTATGATGATGATGATAGCACTGGGGTCAACCTAGTCTCATAAAAATGTGGATCAAACCTTCTCTTCTTCTTTCTCATAAAAAGGTGGATCAAACTTTCTCTTCTTAGTCATGCATCGGCTGTAAACTCCAGTGGAAATATCTGGCTGTTCCTCCACTTCTGGACTTAGATCTTATTCCAGAATATGAATTTCACATGCATATCCTCTCAGACTTCAGAGGATACAAACATAATTAGTCACCTATTACGATATGTTTGTTAGGTAAGCAGTGGGTCTATCTCTCCACCCCCCCCCCCCCCCCTTTACGCCAATGTCTTAAGCCGCCCACCATCATTTCTCTTGGTATGCCTCTTCTGCCAGTGATCTTTCCAGTCGTCACATTATTTTCCAGTGCTCCTTTTCTCATCACTTGACCAAAGAACTTTGTCTCCTTCTCATTGTTGTATAAAATGTTCTACCTTTATCATTTCAAAGCATTTAATGATGGTTATTCTGGCCGTCCAAGGTATTCTCCACATTCTTCTCAAAAACCACATCTCAGTTGCCTCCAAACTCTTAATTTGTCTGCTCATATTCAGAGATTCACTACAATAAAACAGACAGAACAGGCTCGATATAACATATCACTATTCGTTTTCTGATGTTTAATGAGAATTACATAAAATACTTTTCATCTTCTTCTTCGCGTTCACCAGCTGTATGTAAACTCTGGCGTAAAGTTCTGGTTGTTCATCCACTTCTGGACTGCAGTCCTGTTCCATTTTCTGACAGTTGCGTGTGCATCCGTTTTACAGATCTGACTCATCATTTGTAGGCAGACTGCTGGTTCCTTGCCTCTCAGGCAGATGCACTCCAACTTTGAAGGAAGCTCCTAATTAGTGGACTCTTACGACATTCTTTTGGGAAGGCAGTGGGTCTATTCTTGTTTTCCCTACAACATCGTCCCAGGACCCACATAGGGAATTTTTTGATCTTCTGAAAAGCTGCTTTTGCCTGGCCAATTCTGCTCTTAATTTCTGTCACACCTCGTCCATCTGATGTTATGAATGTTACCAAATACTTGAATTTATTGACTTGGTTAAGCATTTTCCCGTCTATTGCTATGACAGATTTTGGAGTTATCTTCTTCTTTAATAGAACCATTGATTCTGTTTTCTTGATATTCAAGGATAGTCTCTATTTTACACTCTCTAGGACCAAAATGTCTAATAGTTGTTGTAGGTCTTCTTTTCAGCTATTAATAATGTATCATCTGCATAACGAAGATTGTTTATATTATAACCTCCAAATAGTATTCCTGGTCTATCCTTGACCTCACTCATTATTATTTCACTATAGAGACAGAAGAGATCTGGTGACAAAACACATCCTTGTTTCACTCCTTGCTTCATCTGTTCATAACTGCCTCTACTTTATTTCCTAATTTTATGGCTGCTTCTTGCTTCCATATAAATATTTTTTTTTTATTATTCTAAGATCTTTTCCATCAATGTTAACATCCTTCCACAATTGTATCATATCATCATATTTAATTTTATCAAAAGCTTTGGTGTAATCTATGAAGCACAAATATATGTCTTACTGTGGAAACTATACTGGCACTTTAAAAGAGTTCAAAAGCATGAAACAAACTATATCAAAACTTCTCACTGAACCGCAGATGCATACATTCATCTCCACTGTTCAGGTCATTGTTCATTGTTTAAAATGTTATAAACACATACAAACAGCCATCAGTTCACAGAAGAATATGACCTTGAGAATATTTCATGAACCTATTCTCAAATGTGAATGACTCAGTTACCTGAAATACTCCTTTGGTGTTGGTAATGGATAATGTGACAGATCATCTTCATCCCGCTGAAAGACTATAATGTCACCATCCATAAGCTCATCGAGCAACTTCTCCATGGGTAGGTTAAGGTCTTCGAGTCGTTCTATTAAGTTAGGCTTGACTTCCTGTCAACAAAAATACCAAACACAAGTTCAGTTCTGTCAGTCTTCTTGCATAATCGGCAGCAGCAATTTATAGTTATAGAAAATCAGTGTTCTTTCATAATAAAATAAGTAAAGGACGCTTTTCCATGCCTTTCAGGCGTATTGGGTAAACAGGGTTAGACCTATATTTTATAGACAAACGGCACAAGACGGGTGAGTGGTCAGCATCATGCAGGCTGCCTTTACTTCCCAGGACTGCCCCTGGTACCCACTCAAGGCTGGGTTGACCTGGGAGCCAAGGTCATTTTTGAAAAACGTCTGGCCCTGCCAGGTTGCCAACCCATGACCTTCCGATCCGCAGGGTAGCGTCTAGCCGCTATGCCACGGCAACCCCCGTCCTTCCATAATAGGTAACAGCAATTTATAGTTAAGAAATTAGTGTTAATGCCAGTCTCCTTTTACATTGAGTACCGGAAACCTTCCTTCACAACGCGAGGCAAACTGCTTAACCACTTCGCCACAGCTTAGTACTGAAAGATTTAATCCCTTGCCTGTTTCCAAGGCCTACAGGAAAAGCAAAAGAACAGCAACACTAAGACTACCAGTCATGCAGAAGGATGTGACTAAGGAGGGCTGGTGTGAGACTGGCTAACCCATCTTAGAGAAAATTCAGTTGCAAAATTCAACCGATCATGAATAAGTCTTTACCTTTTAACCCCGAGAAGGCTAATTATGGTCAATTCCAGCAGTGACACAAGCTCGAAAGTGCCATTTCTGCAGTGACATTTTCTCTAAAAGCAAAATTCCATCGGTTTCAATGTGCAGGTGCACAGTGTTAAATAGGCCAGGATATGAATGCATTAACTAAAAATAGCAAGATAAAAAAAAGCCCCCCCCCCCCCCCCCCCTTAATAACAATGGCTTTAAAAAAAAGTTGACTTAACATTTCCCCAAAAGCCTCAGTGAGAGGTCAATGGGTTACAGCCTGAGTCATCTGTTACACACATTATTGTTAAGGCCTCTGTTTTGTTTATTAATTAAGCCTATATATATATATATATATATATATATATATATATATATATATATATATATATATATATATATATATATATTAATGTTGATAAATAAATGTTTCAACAATTTATTGGTGACCTGTGTAAAATGGTTGTCAGAAGGATTTTGTTTCTGATAATTCCTATGGATAAATGATCAATTTTTGTTTTAAGCAAACTCAGAGCAAAAGGGTTATAGAGCTTAGCGTGAATTGGCTGTGGGCTTCATTAGGGGAGACTCAAATAAAATGATCTTAATGAGAAAAAAAAACCACATCACAATTTCACCGTAAATTTAACAAATCGAGACCGTTACCCAAAAAAAAAATACTTACTTAAAACGAAGAGTAAATGGTTCTCTTACCTCGTACAACAGCAATGGTGTGTTGACGGGAAAGCCAGCTTTCCGATTAAGCTGTGGCACTATCTCATCTAAAGACAGCAACAAGAAATAAGTATTTAATTTTCAAATCATCACTTCCAAATTTAACATAATTCACTCAGTACATATAATACAGACTTTCTTCTAGCATATGTCATAAATTGATTTATATGTCGCACATGCAGGAGGAGTATACATTAATTGGGATCTTTATCTGAGACCTGTTCATGCTGTATTGCGAGTAATTGCTTGCAAGCACATATTGTTGCAACAGAAAAAAAAATATATCCAAAATCAGTTTGCTAGCAAAAAAATTCAATGTAACAAACTAGGACAGTTCAAAAGGTTGTTAGTAAGAAAATGCAACATCAAAATGTGCGTTCACGGTGGGTACCACAGATGTTGATCTACCACAAAATGGAGGAACACATGAGATGGTGTTTGAACTACTTGCTGCGTTTCTGAGTGGAGGATAATGCATATCGGCAGTCCTATTCTGTCACCATGTGATTTTCATTTGTATGGCTTCTGAAAAAAGCTCTCAATTGACAATGATTACACACAGATCCAGATGTAATGAAAGCAGTTAACACTTTGTTCGGTTGAGCAACCACAATATTTTTGTGCAGGTGGCATTCGTTGCCTCCCTAAGCAATGAGATGTGTACCTAATTGCCTATGGTGATGTTTTCTGACCAGCCTATGGTGATGTTCTCTGACCAGCCTATGGTGATGTTCTCTGACCAGCCTATGGTGATGTTCTCTGACCAGCCTATGGTGATGTTCTCTGACCAGCCTATGGTGATGTTTTCTGACCAGCCTATGGTGATGTTTTCTGGCTAACCTATGGTGATGTTCTCTGACCAGCCTATGGTGATGTTCTCTGACCAGCCTATGGTGATGTTCTCTGACCAGCCTATGGTGATGTTCTCTGACCAGCCTATGGTGATGTTCTCTGACCAGCCTATGGTGATGTTTTCTGACCAGCCTATGGTGATGTTCTCTGACCAGCCTATGGTGATGTTTTCTGACCAGCCTATGGTGATGTTTTCTGACCAACCTATGGTGATGTTCTCTGACCAGCCTATGGTGATGTTCTCTGACCAGCCTATAGTGACGTTCTCTGACCAGCCTATGGTGATGTTCTCTGACCAGCCTATGGTGATGTTTTCTGACCAGCCTATGGTGATGTTCTCTGACCAGCCTATTGTGATGTTCTCTGACCAGCCTATGGTGATGTTCTCTGACCAGCCTATGGTGATGTTCTCTGACCAGCCTATGGTGATGTTCTCTGACCAGCCTATGGTGATGTTCTCTGACCAGCCTATGGTGATGTTCTCTGACCAGCCTATGGTGATGTTCTCTGACCAGCCTATGGTGATGTTCTCTGACCAGCCTATGGTGATGTTTTCTGACCAGCCTATGGTGATGTTTTCTGACCAGCCTATGGTGATGTTCTCTGACCAGCCTATGGTGATGTTTTCTGACCAACCCATGGTGCATAATTGAATGCTTTGTTCTGCCACACCTGTTAATATTTCTTTCATAGTTTTGAAATATAGCCATTGTGCCGGATTTTTAATGAACGCCCCTTATGATATTACCAGTGTCTCTTGTTAACGACTGAATTATGAAGACTGAAATAAAAACCATCAAAATTAAAAGCACTGCGATCAAAAGCACTATAACAAATCACATATTTCAGATTAATATTCTCAGCATTAAGAAAAATTAGTGATGTGCATCAGTCTTTAAAAAATAAAAAATAAATGTTTTTAAAACCATTCATTTGCAGATTTACTCTTCTTCTATTCTATAAGCATCTGCAAAGAATTGCAGTATTTTTTTTAGCAATGTCTTTGTAGATCTAAATGACCGGAACACACAAACAATATAAATGGATTTTAAAATTCTAGAGATATAAAAAAATAGAACAATTAATTTACTATAAACAATTTCCACTTACTAGCTTTTGCAGATATAGGTACATACAGATGACCAACATAAGAAATGGACTTGGCTCTAGGGTCATATAATTTCAAAAACAGAAGTACATCACCTGTATATCGAAAAACGAATGTGAAATATAACCAAAATGGTATACAAAGTATTTAAAACATATTGTAATAAACAAGTAGTATGAGAAGACTTTCATCCTAAGTAAGGTGTACCAAACTTTGTGTCCCAACTAAGATCTGCCAAAGCATTTAAAAGCAAGTAATGTGTTACTTCTTGTATTTACCACTTTCTGTAGGATGAGGAGGTTTGAGCCAGAGGATTTTTCACTGCATGACCAGTGCAGTCCATGCGGACTTAATGGGTAAGGATTTCATTTGTGCACCTGACAGTAACAAATAATCGCTTTAGCGAGGATTCAAACTTGGGTCTCCAAAATTAAAGTCCACTATCCTTAGCAACTTAACCAGCTGCTCCTTCACACCAAACTATTTCTTCCCAAGTAAGGTGTACTATTTGTTCAAAACTAAAGTCTACCAAACCATTCAAAAATCTTTTAAAACTTTGTAAACTGTTTATTCCAGAAGCTGTATCATCAGTCTGTGTCAAACTGATTTGACATACTTGAATCTCTGCCAGAGGGAAGTGAAGTACCACCAGCTGGCTTAATCTGCCTGCCTACTGTCACTATAGCTATTCATCTACTAATCATTTGGCCTGTGTATTCAATCAGAAAAACGGTGTGATCTCATCTGGGAGATAAGCTATCACTGCTTACACCTATAGTTCCTATCCCATATTAACACCATGCTCATGTAAAATATATGTGTGTGAACATATTATCATGTAAATATTTATTTGGGATTCAATTTTGTTTATTCATGAGTCATGTATGAGTGTTTGAAATTATAATAATTGTGAAATCACCCGCAAGCAAGCTGCTTGTCGTGGAGATAGAACAATTATGTTCTAATTATTATGTGACAGAATAAATGTTATTTCACTAAGAAAGCTGCTTGTCGTGGAGATAGAACAATTATGTTCTAATTATTATGTGACAGAATAAATGTTATTTCACTAAGACCATATTTACTTTACGGTTGTAAATCTTCCATTTGACTGCAAATCTAGAATCACTGTTGTGATTAACTCGTCAGTGGGACTCTAAATGAGTTTGTGTACACTGTAGCCATTTTTAATTCTTGTCAGTGCTTGAAATGTATATTATCCCCGAGAAGAAGATGGAAAGGTGGATTTGGACACCCTGATTTTATTAATTATATCTGCATCCAACGATTCTCATGATCAGGAGAGTGTTAAATGTCAGTATGTGTACCCAAATAACCACCAGTTATCTTTATCCATTTACACCTCTTTTCTTAGTGCTCACAATTTCTAGTATGTATGTATATATACTTACAGTTTTAACTAGTATGATTGAGTGAGTAAATATTTCAGGATACAACTAGTATGCAAGTTTTTTCCCAAGTGTGGGTTATGCTAACTACACCAAGTAATATAGAATAAGATCTATTCTTTCGTCATCTTAACAGTGGTGTGCATGTATGAGGGTTATATGACTGATATAATAACTACAAGACCAAGGAATATGGAATGAGGCCCATTCTGTCTTCCTAGCTCCTAGTGTATGAGTGTAAGCCATTGTATGAACTCATCCCCAGTATTCACATTCACTATAATGTGAAACCTTGTGGTTGAGATTGTAACATCTGCTGATGTATGGATGAGTGTTTAAAAAAAACCACCAACAAGCAAAACAAGTCAGGAGCATGTAACATTGATAACCATTCACATATTGTAATATTTCACTATACAGTCTGATTGAGATTTTTATCATGGTGAAAAGCCCTACTAAATGTACATCTATATACATGGATCAGTTTTACACTGTGTTAATGAAATTCAGGACAGATACCACCTCCCAGAAAGACGTCAAGGAATTCAGAATGTTGCAAGAAACCTACCACCACAAGCTCGCTTTAAAGCTCCAGAAGTCCGAACTAAATTGGTAGGCGAGGAAACCAAACAGTCCGACCCAATCGCTCTTATGAACTCATCACTAAAGACCGTTGATTCTTACCCTCAAGAATGGATACATGTCTATACTGATGGATCAGCATTTAAAGCTACCATTAAAGCAGGTTACGGAATCTACATAGGTTATCCCGATGGATCTGTTGAAGAGATTTTTGATGCATGCGGGGAATTCTGTTCAAACTATGAAGCTGAAATAACTGCACTGGAAACAGCAGTATACCACCTAAAGACTGTAATGGATGTTTACCCTTCAAAGGTCCAAAATATTGTCATCTTCACAGATTCAATGTCTGCCCTTCAAGCTCTGGAGGGCAGACAACGCTGCAGAACTGACATAGCCAAGATAATCCTGGATGCTGATCAGCTTATTACCTCATACAACATCAGAATAGTGATGCAGTGGATTCCAGGTCACTCCGGCACACCAGGTAATGACAGAGCTGACAGATTGGCAAAGAAAGGAGCAACACAAGAACAACCACCTACAGCGACAACCCTCCAGACAGCAAAAACACTGATAAGAGCTATAAACAAAGAGACTTGGTTGAACAGATGGGCCATGGGAGACACTGGAAGAGAGGTGTATAGACATATGTCTGGCCCTGATCCTAATGACAGCATTAACCATCTAACAAGAAGGGACCAGGCCACCATCTTCAGACTTAGAAAGCAACATACTCCACTCAATGGACACCTAAACAGAATACAGCCACAACACTCCCCAGGGTGTCAGCTATGTAACTACCCCTACGAAACTGTTGAACACCATCTCTTTGAGTGCCCAAAACTCAGTGAGACAAGAAGAACGCTACTCCCTCCGAGACCAGACAAGTGGAACACCTTGTACGGAGGAAAAGAACAGCTTGTGAAAACATGCAAATTCCACTACATGGCATTGGGCCAAAGGCTGAAAGCTCATGCGCCGCTGGATTGATAACAACAACAACAACAACAACATATACATGGATGAGATGTTTCTCCACTCAAACAAGGAACTGCCCCAATGAGTCCAATTCTCTATACATGATATAATTGAAATCTATATTACCATCACTGCTACCCCATGTTAAGAATATGTGTATGCAGATGAATACTTTATGAGGACTAGCCCAAATAGGTCATTGTGAAGAGGCAAAAACTAGATATCTACATGGTGTGTACTGTTTCTTCAATCCCAGGTGGATGTCTTAACTAATTGTAAAGCCTTGACTGGAAGAGTCAAAACATCAAATGTTTGGAATTCGGGGGTGTCTGATCAACCAGTTGGAAGAAGCCAAAACATCGGATAAGTGGCATGTCCAGCAGCTCAGAAAGAAAATCTAGTCTAGTGTTGTTAAATAATATATATTCTTTAGTCCTTTGATTCAATATTTCAATTTACTGCAATAGATTCAATTTGTTTGTAACACACTTCAAGTGTTGTGGAACTGATTTTTGTATGTGTCAGTGAACATAACAAGTAGTTTAAGTTAGGCTATGGAGATATATTTTAGGGGGAGATTCACAAGCTGGGGTCTTCTGGATATATTGTTTGTTTGGGAGGTCTGTCTTAATAAGCGTCTCTGCCTTTGTTTAATTAGTGAGGTCACCCTCTCGACAGCAGTATTTTCTGTACCCATCAATGTGTACAGAGGGAGAGCATTTTATTCTTTGACTCTGTAGATGTGGCATAGAGGTTTCACTTACACAAGTGAACCAGCAATTGAAACAAGGGGCCAAGATATTTGTTACTTGGCCATGGAAGTAACATACTACAAAAGACCTGCTAAATAATCAAAGTGTACACTGATATAAACAGCTTGTTACTAACTCCCTTCATAGACTACTCACTGTCTTTATCGAATGGTGGCAGTTCTTGCTTGCTGCTCTCAGGAGGTAATGTTTCAACAAATATGACCCAAGGGTTTTCTTGTTCAGAAAGCTCCGAGACCTGTTAGAGGAAGACAAGAAGTTACATAAGGTCATACTTTTTATTCTAATTTGTGCTGACCGGCTGTAAACCAGAGCTGAAAGTTCTCTGGTCTAATTCCAGTATTGGAATTTGGTGTGCACATCCATTTTACGGAAATGACATATTTATATGCAGACTGCTGGTTTCTTGCCTCTAAGGCAGATGCATTTCAACTTAGAAGAACTCTTTCCTAATAAATAATTAAACTAATATGGTGCTATTTCAGTAAAATCACAATTTGTAAAAAAAATTAAAAAAAAAACATTTATTACTATCCGCCCGATGTGCCAAAGCATGAAAAGGGTTCTTTACTTAATTTTATGGTGGCTAGCATGTTTATCTTTTGGTCCATAGTTTATGTGTTTTCTTTTTGTTTGTGTCTTCTTTTCCTTCTTTGCGTTCCCTAACCGTTAACTCCGGTGGAAAGTTCTGGCTGTTCGTCCATTTCTGGACTTTGATCTTGCTCCAGAACTTGAGTTTTGCGTGCAAATCCTTTTTACAGATCTGGCTTATGTGTATGCAGACTGTTTGTTTCTCACCTCTCAGACAGATGCACTCCATCTTTGCAGGAAAGATCCAAACTAGTCAACAATTTATGACATACTCGTAGACCCACTGCCCCGGTCCAAAAACCAGGCCCCGGAACCCAGAGAGGAAGGTGATGACTTGTTCACATTAGTTAGGTTTTGCAGAACAGCTGGCAATGAGATAGGGTAGTCAGTATGGTGTGGATCCTTCTCAGTCGTCTCTAACAAAATGCATGTTGGGTGACAATGTCACTGCTTCCACTATGCTGCAGCTGCTAGATGCTCACCTACCAGACTAAGGTCTCAGACTTGCATCTGCACCAAGGTGTTTTCAAAACTGACCTGGACTTAAAGGCTGACCCAGCCTAGAATGTGTAACACGTAATGTTCTGGAAATTCAAGGCAGCCTACATGATGCTGACCACATCCCCCACGTAGCACAGATTTTCTATAATAAATCAGTCTAACATCATACACCCAATGCATCACTGGTATTGTTTTTTTTTTAAACTTATTGCTTCCATTATAGATTTGGGTGATAAAGAGACATCTTTTGACTTATATTTTACCATTTGTTTCTTCCTTAAAATTAGAAGACAACATTTATATCAATGAGACGGGATAAGGAGAAGGTTGAGACAACTGTAAGTTTTGTTCTAATAAAACTATGAAATCCTGCTAAACGAATTCTTACAGTACTCAAGCAAATCTAGAGTGATTCTAGCTACAGCTCTGATTTAACAATTTGCTTGCCTGTTTGTTGCAATCTGCCTCCACATCAAGGACTGTTGGTCGAAATGTTTGGTTCTGCCGGCAATGAAATGGCCAGGGCCGGATTTGTTGTATAGGATATTTCTGATTTAAATAAAAAGAGGGGTAATGAACAACAGTGGAATTCAAATATACTCAATAAATATTATTAAAATGACAAAGTAACACATTTTCCGATACATGATTTATTTCTATTTAGTTACATCTTTTATGAATTCCATGTTAAATAATCCTCCCCATATAATTCCTCAAGACTGTAACTCTAGCAGGGAGAGGCAACATGCATAACTAAGGGGCTTCCAGCCAAGCCTTGCAGTTTGAATTATTCAGACAAAGGCAACTGGACTCAAACCACAGATTGTTAGATGCCTTCTTGGGAGTTAACACATCCTACCAAGCACCCAGGGTGTATGACTTGCTTCATTCACACACAAGAGCTCCCTCAGATGACAAAACAACTTATGGGTTTTGACAGGAGGGCAAGGGGAGGCCAAGGACAATAAGAAAACCACTCTAAACCAGGTATATGTAACAAATTAACATGCCCTTCTGATCCTGAAAGCGTTTTTTAAACAAAATTGTAAGGCTTACCAAATTTTCAGCAAGGATTTCCATAAATTCTGCAAGTGTTGATGTTTTCTTCACTTTAAATGCCCTGTAATCAGACACATAAAATAGTTACCAGCTGCTAAGAAGAAACATTTTGCATCATCATCATAACTGTTCTGTTGTGCCATTATATTTCATACAGGACTCACCGTCTATTATTCCACTCCGTTTTATCCTGTGTGCATCAATTTAATATCATGGAAGGAATCCAGTCCAGCACCTTTCGCCTCTCTCATGAATATTCCATTTTTATGCTACCTGGCAGACTTTGTTTCCGGCCCTGCGCCATACTCCTAACTTTGAAAAACCCATGTAAGAGATTATTTCTGAGTCAAGTAGTCTGCACGTCTGCCCAGTGACTTCCCCAGAGCGGCATTCATCTGTAACCGCCACACATGTGAATTGTCTGTTTACCAGAATGGCATCCTTTCCTGCAGGTTTCTTCGGCAAAAGAACTTACTGGGCAGAGGCAATAACTCCATGCCCCAACTCTCCTCCTTTCTCATCTGGGCATCAGACTGGCAATGGTGGAGCTAATTTGCATTACATATCAATAAAGCATTGTTACTGCTGCAAGAAAACAGCACATTTTTCAAACATTCTGGGAAATAATGTGTTAAAGCCACCACCCATATGTACCAATATGCTCAACATGTGTAACAAATGACTAAAATGTGCACTATACCCCCAATATATACAACAAGCACCTAATATTGCACCAAATGCATTACATGTACATGCAACATATGCCTAACATGTGCACCATTAAGCCTAACTGCTTAAAATGAGCATCAAACACATGTAGGTTACCCTCAGCCTTTCCAGAAAACAGTAATTCTAACCCCATTAGCTTTTAATAAATCAGTCAATACAAACTTTAGCTGTAAAATTCAACCAATCATTAACGTACCATCAGAAATGAAAAAAGCCAAGAAAATAAAGTTTTAGCTAATGCAGCGCCCTCCACCCTCCTTTTTTCCCCATCCCAAAACATGCAACACATGACTAATTAAGTGTATTGGCTGAAAGGCACAGATATTGCAGACTGACGCTAAATCACAAGATACTGTGCCAACTGCCTTTTTATGGACGAATGCAGAAAAAAGAAATGGATATTTTGGAGTATGAGAAAATGTCTTTGTACTGGAACCCACAAGGACATAGAAATAAAGGCAGGACCCCCCCCCCCCCCCCCCCCCCCCCCCCCCCCCCCCCCCCCCCCCCCAAACCCACAAAAAAAAAAACATGGAGAAAGGAGCACAGAGAGTGCAGTTAAAAAAATGGGGAGGATATAGGGTGAGCTGCATGCAACAGAAAATGACAGGATGAATTGGCGTGTGTTGGCTGACAGCCTATGCTCCATTGGGAGATAGAAGGCAGAAAAAGAAGAAAACATAAGCAAGAGTAACTTGCCTGTAGTTGACTTTTTCAACATCAAACAAGTCATTTCCCTGGTGTCCGCAGAAGTTGTCCTCGGTCAAAATGTGAACATTCATATACAAGTGAGCTTCTGTTCTTTCTTTACGCTTTAATGCTTCCAACTTCCTACAAATTGCAAAATGGAGAAAAAATATGTTTTAATATTGAGACAGAACAAAATCTTTAGCATCTAAGTACAGTCAAAAAGGTTGGGGGAGGGGAAGAAGACTGACATGAAGTAAGTAAACATAAAACTTTGACCTGGAAGCTAAAATGGATGGGGGTGGGTGGGTGTGTGTATGTGTGTGTGTGCTGGGGGGAATTTTTTTACCGGTACATCTAAACATTTCGGTCATAGAATTTCTAAAGCCCACAAAGAAGATAGTAACATGGAGAAATAACTTGAACAGAAATGTGAAAAGTGGGAAGAGGAGAGGATGTTGCAGCAAAACAAAACATGAACGAAGGATAAAATAATTATATTAATCGGGGGGGGGGGGGGGGGGGGGTTTTCCTTATAAACCTGAGCTAACTCCTCCTTCACTTGTCACAATCTCCATAGTAAATATAAAGACAAGTAATCTTACAAAAGTGACTTCTTATAAACGTGATTGTTTTCCAGCACTTCAAATAATAAATTTTCTATTCTTGCTTTTTGGGCACTGAAAACGATATGGCCTGTTTTAGTCAATCATCACAATAAAGTTCGTTGCCGTTCAAGTTATTTTTAGTGTTGGGTGCAAATCCACTTTACAAACCAGGCTTTTTGTGTGCAAACTGTTGGTCACTTGCCTCTCAGAGACATATCCACTGACTTTAAAAGGAAAAGTCAATCCTATCTATGTTGGCCAGATTCTGGGTTTAGAACCGGTTTCTAGGATGACCACAGAGAGGCGTAGATAGTTCTTGATTATCATCGGCGAACAAGTCCCCCATTTGCTGGCCATTAGACAACTTCACTGCCAGTCGGGACATTATTTGGGTCTGTTTCTTTTGACTGCATCAACACTGCAAGAATCCTTTTCAAGGCTACTTGGCGGCGAGCAATGCTAAGCCATTTTATCTGGAACAAAAAACCTAGTCACAATTATAACCTAAAATACCCTCTTTGGGAACGCTGGTTGAAAGTGACGATTGCTTTGTTTTTTGTTATTAAGCAAAACAAGGACGGAAGGAATAGACCTTGACCAGTAGAAGCTTGAGCCTAATCTACCACTATGTGTGGTTTAGTATCTCTGCATCCCTGGTGATTATCTATCACCAAAAGGAGATCTGTCTAATAGAGGATAAGTTGTGGAAAAAAAGAGAAACTGACCAACCTCTCATCATTCAGCCTGGCTGTTAATGAATCAGGAATATCCTTTTCACTCACAGGTTCCAGAATCTCATCTAGGGACAGAAAATATAGACATCCAACTTTTGTCATCTAAAAAAAAAAAGCAATTAACAGTGCATCTGATTTTAAACTTCCTGTACTTCCCCATGTGGGGACAAAATAGACCCACTGCCCCGCTAACAAGCATATCGTAAAAAGCAACTAATTAGGGGTGTTAAATTCGAAGAGCATCTGCCTGAGAGGCAATGAACATACCGTTTGCACACAAATACCAGACCTGTAAAACAAATCTACACACCAAATTCAAGTTTTGGAACAAGACTAAAGTTAAGAAGTGGATGAACAACTAGAACTTTCCGCTGGAGTTTACAGCTGGTGAAAGCTAAAAAGTGAAAGCAAGTGAAATGGTTTGCCCACTTAGAGAGAATGCCTTGTGACACCATACCATACAAAGCATACATGGAAAGAGAAGTAGGACGTAGAGCAAGATGGAAGATCAAGATGGAAGGATAACATCAGAGAAACTCTACAACAGCACGATGTGCCTATGGTCAAGGCAGCCAGAAGAGCTAGAAACAGAACCTTATATCTCCCTCGACACCCACAGCGGTAAAAGAGGAAGTGAAGAAGAAGAAGAAGAAACCTAAAAAGAAGAAGAAACTAGCTGTACAATTATTATCTTGGATATCGGTGAGAGCATCTTCAAGCAGTTGTGAGAACTCAAAACATGTTATAGGGTCTTTAGTTGATAGTGCTGAAAGATCAAATACAAATTTAAAAACAGAAGGTAATTCAAAAATCATAAGGTTATTATAAGACTGCTATAGGAGAAGAGAAACATGACTACTTGGATATAAAGATGATATAGATGAAGTAGGAGAAAATCTACAAGAGATAATGAAAACTCTTGACACACTTTAAAGAAAGCTTCACAAATTTTGACTAATTATCTATCAAAATGTATGGTAATAAACAGAGAGGGATATTACAAAATCTCTTGCTACACACAAATACTTGGACACACATCAACTAAGAGAAGAAATATCAATAATACAATCTGGAAATAAGAGATGCACTATGCCCTAAAACATCCACTATAAGCAAATTTGTTCTCACAGCACCAAGATCAAGATATATAAATTGTTGATAAGCCCAACTGTCATATGTGGCCCTGAAACTTTGAGTGCAATTTAAAAAAAAAAAATGATAACATTTTACTAGAAACTTCTGAGAAAATAGTCTTATCATTGGGCTCATCAAAGATGACAGTAAAAAAACCAATGGAGAATGAGAAGTACCAAGGACATTCATAACCTGTTAGATCACTACTAATCACTTGCATAATGAGGGCTGCACTGGCTGGGACATATAAAGAAAATTTCAGATAACACAGAGATAGAAACTGCCAACACAAAAGAACTGATTGGGTGTAGATTCAGAAGCAGCCAAGAAGACTGGAGAATCAATATTCAGGCAGACTACAACACATTGAGTCGCCAAAGTCAAAAGAAGGCCAGTCAAAAAGATCAATGACAAATGCAGCCGTGAACCTAAAGAGTATGGAAGACTGACAAGGAATAAAGGTAATTCAGTGTTGGGCTTTTGCATATTCTAGGCAATGGCATTCAAAGTGGCACAGCCAGTCCCCTTCCTCACCTGCTTCCCTCATCGGATAAATCACAGAAAAATTAGCTGGTACCCATTTTTATCAGGCTGGGCTGATCTCAGATCCTCCCCAAGTTGGCTTAAGGGCAACATTTTTGAAGATTTGAACCATCCCTTCCCCCCACCCCTTTTCCCCAAGCATGTCATAAAATGTGACTTATTATGGGTCTGCTCAAATTGGATGCGTTAAGCCGAAAGGTACAGATATTCTAGCCTAGCTGTAAACTAAAACACAATATGCCAACCACCCTTTCAAGGGTGTGCGGAGAGGAAGGAGACCCCTAGATCCTGACTGGACGGAACACTAATCCTGCCTTTGTGAGTGACTGAAACCCAAAATATTTTTTCTCAGGCAAGCTAACTATGCTATCAGTTCCCAAATGCAGGATCTTCTTGACCTGTGACCAAGTTCCGCACAACTAATAAGTCACAAGTCAAACCGGTCGTATGGTGAATTTATATTTTTTCAACACTGTTTGACTCAAAATTCTCTATGGCTAAGTGGTTAGGTCGAAAGCCTCATGTTCTGAAGGTTGTAGGTTTGTTTCACAGCAGCGCCGTTCAGTTCACAAGTACAATTTTTGCGGAGATCCCCAGGGATCGTCGCCAGAGCTATGGAGGTTGTGCTCTGTGCAACGTTTTCTGCAGGCAGCTAGCTGTTCTGCGGAGAAAGACTGAACCATATGGGATATAATCTGGTGCAATAAAGTCAATCCTCTCACCTTAACTGTTCCAGTATAATCTAGGCTAGTACGGTGACTTACTCAGTTCACTTTCACGTATATACACCAACATGTATGCATTTGTACAGTGTCTGACAGTCAGGTCATCATCCTGTCCACCAAAGTTGTGGTCAATGGCTTCAGACTTTGTACACCGGGAAACAACATCATCATCAAACTTGCACCACTGGGTTGAATGGTCAAATAACTGAAAGTTTAGTTAGTCACTGGAAACTAAACAACTGCAATTTGTTTCAACAAACAACAAATACTGTGAATTAGGAAACCACATATGTTTTCTCTCTTAAAACAGAAGTTCTAAAGATTTTTAAGATAAATGAACAAATTTAAAAATTAATTAAAAAAAAAAAAAAAAAAAAAAAAAAAAAAAAAAACAGTTGTCACAATTCAACTTTAAAACTTTAAAAATGATATCTTCTGTAAAGATCCTGGGTATATCATACAGAGACCACATAACAAATGATAAAGTTCACTGTATCATCACTCAACATACTGGCCATTGTGAACATCTTTTAACAGTCAAAAGGCAGAAGATCTAATGGGCTCTCCAAAATGATGCTACAGGGCTTTGTGGATGGGAAGACGAGAAGACAAAAGATCTCCTATATAGTGAACTAGTAACAGGGATAAGACCTGCAGTAAGGCCAAAGCTACGCTATAAGAACATATGCAAACACGACCTGAAAGATGTCAACACTGACACATACACTTGGGAAAGATCAACTGCAGACTTACTCCTTTGGAGGCAGACAGTGAAAGACAGACTGTCGCAGTTTGGAAGAGGCCAAACACAGCAAGGTACAGAGAAGAGATAGAGTATCAAAGTTTTTATGTGGACTATGTGTCAGAAATTGCCACTGCCGCACTGGACTTGACAGTCACAGCAGATGCAGTTTCCCACAACCAACGGCACAACTCTATGGTCCCCAGGGACTGATGGTTGCCTACGATTTTAGGCTGGGAGCACTTTGAGTAGTCACAGATCTTATCAGCTGTTTTGATATGTATTTAAATGGTGTGCTGGGTGTTTGAAACAGAGACACTCCCATATTTCGTGATAAAGTCATACCCTCTCATATTTCCCGATAAAGTCAGGAATAAGTCAACCTAGTCAGTTATTTATGTTCAGTACTGCTACTACTCCAACAAGTCACACAAATAAATCCCAGTAATAAACAAATAATAAAGATGTTCTAAAAAAATTTAGCAACATATTGAAAAAACATTTTGCTGACAATTATATGTAAGAATTATATGAGGAAACCTGATGAAAAAAAAACTGTAGATCAAAGACATTTAGTTAGATATGGGTGTCTGTAGTTGAGTTGAGACAAGAAATAACTTAATTGACACAAAACAAACAATTATTAGATAGCACAACAGTTGGAAATGAACAGATGTGCAGATGCAATTGAACATTTTGACCCGTCTTTATCAATGAATAAAATATCAGAAATCCTCAGGGATGTAGGGACGGTAAACCACACATATAGGTGCAACAAAACCAGGGCTTCTACTGGTCAAAATCTATATGCCTGAGATTTGAGAAACCAACAGTCTGCACAAACGAAAAGCCCATTATGTAAATGAATGTGCATGCAACAATCAAGTCCTAGAACAATAGCACAGTCAGAAGTAAACAACAACCAGCACTTCCCATCAGAGTTTACAGAAAGTGAAAGCAAGAGGGGAAAAAAAAGAAATCCTTTATCACAACAATACTAGGTGATTTTTTTTTTTTAACATCGAAGAACCGAGATATGTAGAGCCATAAACAACTTGTCAATCTGGCAATACTAAATTTCTTTTCTTTTCTATAGTTATCTCCATATATTTATGCAAACTGCTTGTTATATATACTGCTGACTCCTTACCATATACAGGGTTTATAGCCAAATTCACCAACATTTTTGTAAAGGGGTTTCTGGGTAATTTTCGTTTTTGTCCTTTTCAAAGTTATGCAAGAATATGCAGTTTTCCCTTTTCAAAGTTATGCAGGGAATATGCAGTTTTTCCTTTTCAAAGTTATGCCTGGAATATACAGTTTTTCCTTTTCAAAGTTATAAAAGGAATGTGCAGATTTTCTTTTTCAAAGTTATGCATGGAATATGAAACTTTCCTTTTTAAAATTATATAAAGAATATGCATCTTTCCCTTTTCAAAGTTATGCAGTGAATATGAAACTTTCCCTTTTCAAAGTTATATAAAGAATTCGCAGCTTTTCCTTTTCAGAGTTATGCAGGTGATTTGCAGCTTTTCCTTTTCAGAGTTATGCAGTTGATTTGCAGCTATTCCTTTTCAAAGTAATACAGGGAATACGCAGTACCTGATCCGTGAACACACAAGTGAAGACCTAGACTACTGGTTCTCAAATAGCTAACCCCTGCAGACCTTTCTATTTGGAAGGCCCGTCATGGACCCCATACTTTAATCATATAGCCATCCAGAAGAAATTATAATTTATCAATATCAGATTCGCAAAAAAAGGATTACATTTTCAAGTTTAAGGTTCTGGTAAATCATCTTCTTCGCGTCCACCAAATGTAAGCTCTGGCGAAAAGTTCACTTATAGACTGCAGTACTATTCCAGAACCTGAGTGTTGAGTTTGCATCCGTTTTACAGATCTGACTCATTTGTATGCAGACTGCTGGTTCCTTGCCTCTCAGGCAGATGCACTCAGACTTCGAAGGAAGCTCTCAATTAGTTGTGTCTTACGACATACTTTTGGCTAGGCAGTGGGTCTATTCTTTTTCTCCTTATAATAGAGCCCCGGAACCCACACGGGGAGGTCCGGGTAAATGATATCACCGGCCTTTGAAAATTATTTCAGAGACCCCTCCCCCCGGTCCAATTATTACCAAATAGGAAAGACTGGCACTGACAATGATAACGATAAAATCAAACAAGTACACAAAACAAACAGTGGTCAGTTTACCTTGCCATCTCCTTTAGGGTTAATATATACAACATAATGTCCTCCGTGGTTATCTCCACTATGTACAAGAACTGCATGTAACACGTAAGTTGCTGACGTCTTTTCTTTCTTTTGAAGAAATTCGTCTAAATTCAACTGCTCTGGGAACTCAAATCTGTGGTGGGTATTAAAAGTCGTACGTCAAATAAATTACAAAAATACACCTCCAAACTCATCAGCAGTGAAGGTAAGGAAAATATAGCAGATTAAGCAGGTAGATTGGCTGTTTCTGCACTATTTTCTGGTACACTGATGCATGACAACTAGATAAGGTCAAAACCCTTTTGACGTGAATGAACAGTGCAGAATCACAAAAAGATAATCAGTCTAAACAGAGTGGTTCAGCTGGGAGTAACAAGGGGATCTGGCCACCATTCAGATGACTCCTACTGGTTTCATCAGAATTTGTACTCTGTGCTGGCTGCTGAAGATGGGGATGGAGCACACGGGGAAATGTCCTGACTGCTGCGAACTCAAATCAAGGCAGATACTGCTGTTGTGATGTGAAGTGTTAGGCCTTCACATATTCTAGGCTGTGATATACGTAGTGGGATGGCCAATACCTTTCTCCCCAAACAACTTTAGAAATTGTCTCGTACCTGTCTGTACGAGAATCTGTTGGCCCCGCAGTCATAAGTAAAAAGTCAAAGTCCCTTTATATGACAGTGGCACATCAGGCACATTATAGACAAATCAACCTTCAAAGGGTGATGTGGTCAACATAGACCAGGTGCCTTTACTTCTGAGGGCTTGACCTGGTGCCCCTTTGAGGCTGGGTTAACCTGGGAGACAAGGTAATTAATGAAAAAATCCAGCTCTACATGCCTTGGAGTGTAGATTAAGAAGAGATGTGACTGCAGATCAAAGGTTACCTGTTGCGGTTTTCTGAAAAATGTTTATCGAGTCTGATTATGACTTCAGGATGTGTGGTTGTTACCTGCCCCTGTTTGCTGCTCTGGAGGCAGCAGTTATCTCCACACTTATGCCTGTTTGGCACATATTTAAATATGAAACTACAAATGTAGTCGGCCTGTGGGTTCTGAGGCCCATTGTGGGAAAACAAGAATAGACCCATTGCCTCAACAAGCATGTTGCAGGAGTCAACTAATTAGGGCACCCGTCGAAGTTACAGTACATCTGCCTGAGAGGTAAGGAACCAACAGCCTGCATACAAATAAGCTAAATCTGTGAAAAGGAACAAGACTAAAGTCTGTAGGTGGATGAATACTGAGAACTTTCTACTGGAGTTTACAGCCGGTAAACGAGAAGAAGTACATGAATAGCACTATAGATGGACACATGCATAACTACAATATGTTCATACTCACCTATCATTAATTTTAATGTTTGCATCTGTGACAGGATCATACATGAACCTCATGAGGTGCAGGTGTAGCACAGGAGGAAATGAGAGGAAAACAACACCTTTCTCAGATTCCTGTACAGAAGAGTTCAGTCCAATAACACATACATGATAATAATACATCCAACAACAAGCAGTCAGCACATCATCATTATTATCCTGCCACTCCATTATATCACACTGAGTTTGCAGTCTAGCCCTCAAAGGCTTGGAATGCCAAAGAAGAACTAAGCCCCATTATCAATCAAGCCTAAAATTTGTACATCAAAGTATCTTCAGAGTACAGCAGCCAGCTTGATACAAACTACATCACCCAGTGACCACCAAGTTGTCTATAAAATTATGCAGTCTCTGGAGGGGCTGTAAAAAATCAGTTTTATGTGAAAACTTCCAAAACCATTAAACATAGGCAAAGCATTCTTAACTGCAGTTTATTTATTTCAAGTTCTTTCTTTCATATTTATAAGAGGGATACCCTGTGCAACCCTGCGCTGAAAAAACTGCAGTGACCAACAACAAAAACAAACATGCAGATATTACCAGAAATTGTAAAACTTTTTACTGAGACATAGAAACCACGGCATATACACATATAAACACTGTCATTTCAACATTTAAGGACCAGTGCTCCCACCTATTACGAAGTCGTCGTCTTCTTAATGTTCACCAGAGGAAAATTCTGGTTGCCTGTCTACTTCTGGACTTAATTTAAGTCTTGTTCCAGAATTTGAGTTGTGCATGCATATCCATTTGACAGATCTGGCTTATTTGTGTGCAGACTTCTTCGCCTTAAAGGCAGAGGCCCTTTGACTTCAAAGGGAACTCTCAATAAGTCAACTTTTACAATATGCTTGTAGGGAGGCAGTGTTTTTTTTTAAAACCTAACAGGGCCATGAAACCCACATAGGAAACAAAGCTATCAATTACAATAACAAAATGTAAAATAAAGAAGATACAAAATACAGACTGTACATTTATTTCCTGGTATACTGTGCTGTCAGGTACACACTACACTAACAATATACTGTGTCATCTCTGTCTGTCTGTCTGTGTGTGTGTTTATAAAGGCAGAGTCTCCCTACTGAAACACTGGTTTTAATAGCAAATGCCAACAAGACAAAAAACAAGCCATACCTGCAGACCATATTCCCCAGCATCATACTTGTTATCTCCATCCAGAGTTTCCACTGTGCAATACTCCTTGAAAGACTCATACACTAGAGGAACGTGACAGTACATCAGATAGGTAAATATGACATTTGAATCACAGGAAAAAAAATTACCTTAATCTAAGGGGACATAACAGAAGTGGACAGTTGGTAGGTTAGTGAAAAAAAAATATTTGGAAGCTGTAGATGTGGTTTTATAGAGGAATGATGACAGTACCCTGGACAGATAAAAAAGAGTAATGAATATGTCTTGAAAGAAACTGACTCACAAAGAGAACTGATTGCCTACATCATAAAGAGACAATTTATATTCATGTGAAGAGAATGAGGAAACTGGAGTATATCGTGACTGTAGGAAAGTTGGAGTAGAGGAGAGGCAGAAGAAGACCGAAAGAAAAGATACTGGTCAGTCTGAAATCATAGCATGGAAGATCATCTGTATGTGAGTTGATTAAAAGTAAATGAGACAGAAGGTTGTGCACTGACATGACTATGAACGCCACACAGCATGGACTTTAAGAAGAAGAAAATAACATTATTAATTGGCTTTAAACTGTTTATCTTGAAAATATTTTCCCGGACATGTACCCCTCTAAGCTGATGCCACCTAATAAAAACGTGCAGCAGATTATTTTCTAGGGTCTGTCGGGAAAGATAAGCGATAAAGCCAAGGACAGGTCTATATGTGAGAACCTAATACTTTGCACGCTATCACAGTAACTGCTATGTTCTTTCTTTTTCCTCTGCGTTCGACCTTAAATAGGCAGTTGGCACGCTGTGATGGGTGGTTTACAGCAAAGCTGTGATATCCACACTTTTCGACTCTACACATCTGACTCCAGCAAAACCTCTCATTAAACGCCTTTTAAGGCCAAAGGGTGAAAGCTCATGCACCGCTGGATCAATAATAACAACAACGTCTTTTACAACATGCTTGTTAAGGAACATTAAGTCTATTCTTATTTTTCCAGAAAAATTGAGTTCTGGAACTCTTATGGGGAAATGATATGCTCAACATTAGAAACTGAAAGATCATGACAGGCATGCAGCTTCCAAAACATCTGAGCCACTGAAATGAAATGTGGAAGCCATAATAGAGCAGTGGCTAGCATTCTTACCTAACAGCTTGATGGTCAGAGGTTCTTTATCTTGTACATCTCATATACACCTAACACCCACACACTAATTTTTATCCTACTGAGACACTCTATTTTATCTTGTATATCTCATACAGTTCACAAACACACATTAACTTGGATTCTACTGAGACACTTCTACTTTATCTTGTACATCTTATACACAGTTCACAACCACACATTAAATTGTATCCTACTGAGACAGTTCTACTTTATCTTGTCCATCTTATAAACAGTTCACAACCACACATTAAATTGTATCCTACTGAGACAGTTCTACTTTATCTTGTACATCTTATAAACAGTTCACAAACACACATTAACTTGGATCCTACTGAGACACTTCTACTTTATCTTGTACATCTTATAAACAGTTCACAAACGCACATTAACTTGTATCCTACTGAGACAGTTCTACTTTATCTTGTCCATCTCATACACAGTTCACAAACGCACATTAACTTGTATCCTACTGAGACAGTTCTACTTTATCTTGTACATTTGATATACAGTTCACAACTACACAACAGAAACGTGTATCTTAGTGAGACACCTCTACATTATCTCGTACATCTCAAACACAGTTCACAATCTAAATCTAAATAACTTGCAACATACCGCTTTTCTTGCCTTTGATATTCAACTGAATATCAAAGAAAGTTTCTTCCCTTTTGGAATCATAATCCACATGCTTGCATCTTATGTAGGACTGTGAACAAATAAAAATAAACACATTCAAATGAACTGTTAGTATTCATTGTCGTCTGAGATCTTTAAATTATAGCTATAAAGTAACTGGTACACCATCCACAATATATAATTAAAATAGCAATAAGCTTAAGTATAATTGGGGGGGGGGGGAGGAGGAGAACAATGTTTATATTTTCCTTAATTTAAACAGATTTAAAATTGTATTCATTATTTTTAGCTTTTCACTCCTACACTCACCTCCAAAACGTTCAAAAAGATGGTTGGCACACTGTATACCTGTATTGTGGTTTACAGCTAGGCTGTGACACCTGTGCCTTATGGCCCAACACATCCCATTTCAGCAACTTTTACTCAGTCGCCTTTTACAATATGCTCGTGCAGTTGGTTTATTCCTTCTTGGACCATGAAGAAGTTATTCATTCAATTAAATCCGTCAAGTGTTTTGGAAATAAGTTCTTATGATATTTCACCACTGCTGAAGTTGATAGCAGCAGAAGGTCTACGGAACGAGCATGCAAATCTATAATACAGGTAAGCTTCAGCACTACTCTGATGGTTCTCTTACTGAAGATGCAATTGTGGTATCTGGGCAATGACTGAATCCTGTCTTTGCCTGCTTTAATTTACACACTGTTCTGTTCTAACCGTTTCATTAAGATTCATAAGAAACATCTGCCCTGGTTCTGATCACCATAAAGAGCCACACTGAAGAAGTATAAAGAGCATAGAGCAAGGGAAACACCATGCAAAATGTGGAGAGACAGTACCAAGAACAAGCTTAGAGCACTGAAAACTAACTTACAAAGCAAACAGATTATGCGTGCCGCCCCCCCCCCTCCCCCAAAAAAAGTTAGCTGCGGGTCCAGTACAGGAAGCTGCAGAACCAGCATTGTTTGGCTGTTTGTGATTTTAAGAGGCAATTTTATGTTTAGTAGTTTGCCACTGTTTTCTGAACAGTCAGCTCTCAATACCATTGATGAAACCAATGCAAGGTGGTCTGCTACCTAATCGCCCACAGCTGGGATCGAACCCAGTACACTGGATTTATGAAGCGCATTTGCAACACCCAAGCCACAGATGCCAACTGTGAAGTAAATGGAGGAAGAAAAGATATTTCTAAATAATACATTTTTGCTAAGCAAGTCTGCCTGATGAGTTGTACTTAAATTAAATTATATCTTTTTGCAGATTATCAAAAATACACAAGCAACATAAATTTTAGATTTACTTACCAACATTTTACCCTCAAAGAGTTTTGGAATAGTTCCTTCCACACATGTTCCCTTCATCTTGCTTTCCATGTTATCTAACAACTGAATAGCAAAATGGAGAGATTATTTTAAGAACAAATGCTGTCATGTATACATAATAATATGATTCTAATAGAACTACTAACAATACATTGATTTTAAAATTTTACACCTAAAAACAAAAGTACACTTCTTATATTTTACTTACTGACAAAGAGATTGATTTTTATCAGGACATAATTACTCATAAAAATAAGGGACTGCAGTAGTCATCCATGACATATCCTAAGTTAACAAAACAAAAAGATGATACCCACTAATTTCCCATATAAAAAAAAAAAAACCTTTTTTTTAAAAAAAGCCACCATACAAAATAAAAACACATACTCCTATATACTAATACAGTTATTATACTGACCACACGGCAAAGTTCCTGAACATCATGTTGCATGAAGGAGTCCAAAGTTTCCCATCTGTTAACCAATAAATTAAAGGACAAAAAAATGTGTATATGGATATGGTTTGAAAAGATTTACTTACAGGAGCTATAGCTAACAAACTGGCACAGTCTCAATAATAGGTCAAATAAGGTACACTACACAATCAACAAATTTTGTTTAAAAATCAAAACATTTTTTTTTAAAGATAATTCTGCTTCTTCTTTGTTCACCGGATGTAAGCTCTGGTGGAAAGTCATAGTTGTTTGTCCATTTTGACTTTGGCTTTGTACCAAGGCCTGAGTTTTGCATGTAGATCTGTTTAACTGGCTTATTTGTGTGCAGCTGTTCCTTGCCACTCTGGCAGATGCACTCTGACTTCGAAAGAAGTTCCCAATTAGTCGACTCCTATGACATGCCTGTTGGGAAGGCAGTGGGTCTATTCTTGTTTTCCCCACAAAGGGGCCCCGAAAGCTACACAGGAAAAAAGATACTTTAAAAAAAATAGGTTTCTATTCTATCAAGGTTGTCAATCTGTCGATTATTAAAAACAAAGACTATAACACAATAAAATCATCATGTTTATACCCAAATGATCTTGTGAGTTTTTTGGTTCCTACTGGCTTATCTGAGAACTGTAGCTCATAGAAGACTCTCTGAAGAGCAAGAGGGACACTTCTGGTGCTGTCATCACCTTCCGTAGGCATCAGGTACACAGCCTGAAAATACAGGTTCAAATGATGCAATGTTCTCAGATAGATGCAAACAAGATTTCCTAAACATTGGGTAAGGTTAGAGGTTAAAAGCAAGAGAATGGCTTGACCTTTCGTCAGAGACACACCCCCCCCCCCCCCCCCACCCCCCCCCCCCCCCCCCCCCCCCCCCCCCCCCCCCCCCCCAGTGTAAGGCTTATAGGCAAGAACAAATATACAGTGATGTTCATGCTGAGACGAACATTTAAAAATATGCAATCTAAGTTTTGAAAAAGGCTTAGACATAAAGATAACTCTTCTTCCTCACTGTTCGCCTGAGTTAGGTAAATGCACTGTGCATCCTTACAGCACAGACATGAAATCTGCGCCTATTGGCCGAGATATCCGACTTCTTCTGGCATTTGTTAGGATTAGCCTTACTGGTTAGTTTTGTGGAACATTTTTAGATTCATATGTGTAGTGACTTTGTCATCCCCTGATCCAAAGCTGCTGTCCCTAGAGGAACTGACTGGGGCAGCTGGAGGCATATTGTCAACTCTCAACGGAAAGCAGGAGCAGAGCATGGACATTCCAAGCCTTCCAAGGAGGCTTCCATAAATGCAGAGTGATACATGCAGTGCTCTGGTCCACATCTGCGACTGGGTCGCCCATTGGCTGGCCAGTAGACAACTCTGTCATCGGTCAGGACAGTATCTGGGTCTGTCTCTCTTGACTGCATCAACACTGCAAGACTCCTTCACAGGACTACTTGATGATAAGCCATACTCTATGGCGCAAATAAACTTAGTCACCATTATAACCAAAACTCACCATTATAACCGAAAACTACACCTTTGGGGATGCTGGCTGAACGTGACAATTTTTTTTTTTGCAAAGCAAGTCAAGGCACTCTGGTCCTGAGCTAACCCAAGGAATCATCACATCCTGCACACGACTGCTTAACCTCACATCCATATTCAGCTTTCCACTCATTATGGGCTGCGCCCTTTGGGGATCTCCAGGAAGCAGTCTGCAGACCTACGACTCTAATGTCCAGCTCAAACTGGCATCTCACTTCCTCAGCATGTTAGAATACTCTCATAAAGATAATTTATCTCCAATATCAGAAGACAGTAAACATTATAAGATCACATAAAGAAATGATACACACTTATAAAATACTGTAACAACAGGAAGGATAATGGTTTAAAAAAAACTGACAGAGGAAGTTTGTAAGAGACTACTCCGGACAATCATGTATCATGACAAGGGAAAATAGCATATGGACTGATATACTACTCACTAACATAAATGGAAAAAGAAAGTCTCTCAACAAGAAAGTCAGGGGCAAGAGAAGCAACAAGGGCAATAGAATAGACACAATTGATAATACCATTAGTGATTAGAAAGGATTATCATCAAAGCATTCTGGACAGGTCCATAGGTGCTCCAATCTCCTCCTCAAAGGCTCCACAAGTGTACGACGACTGATGACGCCTGTTCTGTGCTGGTTAATGAAACGTCCACTTAGTGAATGTTCATTTCTTGCAGCTCCAGGCTGCACCCCCATGTCCATCAGTCTAGACAGGGATACGGAGTCATATCCTTTGGCATGCTCCTTGGTACGATAAGTGCAACGCATGGCACGGATAACATCACTTCTGTCCAGCCATAACATGATAATACCATGTCTCAGTGCATTAATATGTACACACATCAACATATGTAAATACTGTACTCATTTCAAACAACTTGTACTTGAACTAAAAGTTTAATCATGATAATCACCACCATTTGATCACAATTCAAGCTTCTATTGCAGCTGTTTATTTTTTCCTTCTTCTCTTCCCCTTAGAACATTATTTACTGATTATATTGTATAATGTTGGTGAGTTTGCAATTCCAAGGCATCTGGTTCAATTCCAGCAGTGAGAAATTTGACAGTAGGCCACACTGTGTTGATTTCAACAATGGTGTGCATCAAGAGCCAGCTGTTCAGGAAGAAATGGCAAAACTACTGAACATAAAATAATGCTGGGGTTAGTTTTGCAATGTCCTGTAAAGGTTACCAACTAAGATATTGTGCAATAATGATGCAATATTAGTCAGGTTCCTCTACCGCTTCCTACATTATTACTGCAGTATTGTAGCATGGGAGACACATCCATGGTTATGCCCATATGCTATGATGTTAATTCTTAAATCAGTAATAAGGAATTCCCTCATTTAGAAAAGATCACTCTCTGCACAGCAGTTTGGCTGATGACTGCCAAGAGTGTTGCATGCAGCACAATCTCAGTACCTTCAGGTGATGATCCCCAAAAATATCCAAACAAATTTGCTCAGAAACTAAAGGGTACAATTAGACTTTCCAAGTGCAAGGTAAACAGCTTGCTTACTCTGCTATGGAAAATCCCCTTACATTTAGACAAAAAGACAAACACCATAAAAATCTGTTTAACGAAATCAATACTTACACGCCGTAACTTATTGGTGAAGTACAATGTTTGCAGCAAAGAATTCATGTAGCAAGTAGCTCCTTGGTTCTTGAGGCCTACATAACCAGTATGTTTTTTAGAGTCCCAACTGCAAATAATCAACAATGTCATACATTTATCATGGCGGAAGACTGACTGATATACAAACATCTCATCTCTCTTTTCCCGATACACATAATGCTTTGTCTACTATTTCATTTTAAAAAAACTTTAAATTTACAAGTACAAAAGCCTAAATATGTGACCACTAAGGCACAATGGAGGATCTGGTGAGGTAGCAATATTTTCAGCTACAAATTAAAGATAACCCAGTACTACATTAGAAGAAGAAACCCAGATCCCTGCTGATTAGACAGGTTCAACCTTGCTTTTACTGAAGATCAACTCAGGGCAACAGTGTTGGCAGCTGTATGTTAATAACCATACATTAAGTTGTAAGCAGTAACTACAGGTCCAGGAAGTAAACCCTGTTAATAAATGCTCGATGAAGTTAGATGTTTCAGCAAAAGGCACAAATATTGCAGTTATTCTGTCAGAAGCTAAAGATGAGCTCAATAACTGCTTTAAATTCTACAAAGCAATTCAATTTTTTTGCAGCTCCAGATTTCAAACAACTGACTGGTGGAGGGGGGGGGGGGGGGGGGGGGGGGGGGGGGGGGGGGGGGGGAAGAAGAGAAAATTATCACCATGAAGGCACATAGCATGATGACATTTGGGTGATTCTAGGATGTACAAGATACTTCCCTGAACTGTTGATTACTGCAAACAAGTAATACGAGCAAGGTCAAATCTCAGAGTAGCTGCAGATAATTTTATTAGCCTCCTGATATAAGTTTTCTGACAGAAGGATCAAGTAAAAAAGAATTAACTCAGCTTCCATGGTACTGAATCAAACCGAGAAAAGAACCCTGTTACCCCTAGAAGCAGCAAAACTGACACTTCCGGTTGGGGCCAATTCCTGTAAATATCACTTTTCAAATTTGTCAATAATGACATGTTTGCAAAACACAGTTAAAGCTACTGGCTGTGTTCATGCCTGCTCAATCCATTTATGAGGTCAACATATGAAAAAATTCGGTAAAAATAACATGGGGAAGGGGGGGGGGAGGTGCCTTCAAATCAAATGGTTTTATGAAAGCCAAGCTGACATGAAATCTCCTCCTTCCCAAGCCTCAGTGATAGAAGTCATGATATAAACCAATCGATACATATTTTTATTTAGCCCTCCGGAGAATGTATTCTATTTAATGCTTCACTCTGTTCATGTTTACTGATTACTCCCTTTACACCCCCCCCCCCTTTTTCCCCAAATAAAATTTTTTTTTTTTTTAAATTCTACAATTATTAGTAAACTGTAAAATTATTGTTTGAAAGGATTTATTTTTTTACAATTCTCACATGGTCAGAGAATATCTGGTGCCACTGGGGCAAAAGGGTTAATAACTGGTACCCAAAAACAAAACAAAAACCTACAAAGATGGACATTGTGATTGAAACAAAGAAAAGTACAACTCAAAACAGAAAATTGGATTCAGGGGAAAGGGGGGGGGGGGGGGGGGGGGGGATATATACCTGCAACATATCTCAGCCAAGTGGACTACAAAACAAGGAATATGTGTAATACATTAAAAGTAAACACATCACCAGAAGAGCCACATCTTGTTCTTTGTAGCGTTAAGGTGAAGTATAAAGGGTAGGCGTGTCTGTTTGTGTGTTTTATATATGGGGTTTATCACATATGAAGAACAAAACATAAGATGAACATAAAATGGGTTGAATTCAGGAGGAGCTGAAGAAATCAAAGAAATATCTGAGCCACCAATGGTATCAAAAGTTATAAGACCCAGAAGATAGCGCCAAATTGGACACATTCTGAGAAAGTTCAACAGAGAATCACCAAATAGGCAATGAAATAGAAAATTCAGGGACGCCCAAAAGTAACCCTAAAGCGAACGCTTAAGAGAAAAGCCAAAGGTGCCGAATTGGCTTCCATCCATTATAGTGAAGTGAATGCACAAGACAGAACGGAATGGAGAAATAGACTGCGAGTCTTATATAATGGAACAATAGGATAATAAATGAATTTAGAAAGCACATAAATGGGTATCCAAACTGTAAACAAAAATATGTTAATGAGTACACAACTGTGCCTACCTGACTCCGTGAGGGGCATCAGCTGTGACATGAACTTCCAAGATGATTTTATCATCCTTGATGTAGCCGTTAGAGGGGTCACACACATCCTAAGAAAAAAAAATTCCAATAAATTTCATATTTATAAGTAGAAATACCTGATTTTGTATCACTAAGAGTCAGCAAAGACAGTGAGACAGTTACAGGTAACCACAGACCGTGAAACTGACAAAGTGGCATATTATGATCCAATTACTTTAGTTCTGGTAACTATAATTAAGTGATAAAAAATACAACAAATTGTTTATTATAAAAGAAATTAAAAAAAAAAAACGATGAAGCAAATTAATTAAAATAACACACCGCAGTTAAAAAATGAATCCATCTTACAAACAAATCCAATTATATTAAGATTTAAGATTTAGTTGCGTATCCTTTACAGGACGTTGCAGAACCAACCCTAACAGCCCCTGGCTGTTGTGTGGTTTCTCTAGGCAATTTACATCCAGTAGTTTGCCATTGCTTCCTGGACGGTCGGCTTTCTTGATACCACTGTCGAAACCAACGCAAGGCGCATTGCCCGCAGCTGGGATCGAACCTGGCATCCCGGCATTACGAAGCGAAGCGTTCGCATCGACTTAGCCACAGAGCCGACCCAATTATATGGTGACCTTAAATATGGCTAATTAGTTTATACAAGGACAGCACTGCAGCAGACAATGTGCATTAATCACCTGGACACATGCAACATCAGTAGAAGAAAATAGACATCACAACACAGAATGAATGCTTCACTTTCTTTCAAACGTTAATGTTTAAAGATTTGGGCAATTTACCAGGCCAACTCCCAACACACACACCGGCATGCATATTTACGCTATTTTTATATTCTTAACGTTTATACACCAAAGGTTATAATTATAAGATACAAATACTTGTCACGCCTTCACATAAGAAAGAAGTAAAAAGAAAGAAGGTTTTTTTTAATTAGAAAAACAAATAAATGAGAGCAGCAGCAGTTGTGATAGTAAAGCAGTAGCAGCAGTAATAGTAGACTTACTTGCCAAGCCATAAAATGACTGAAACCCCAATCATTCTCCTTGTGGTAAAACAGATGCTGGATATCTGAGAACAACAAAATAATTACATCAGATCATAAACACATACACCTGCAGTAAGAACATGGATTTAAAAAAAAATGAATAAAATACAAAACACATATGAACAGAAAGCAAAACAAGTAGTCATATTTAGTTCACACAAAAAAGAATTACTAAAGAAAAAAATTAAATGATTCAAAGATGTATGCATACATGCAGTTAGAAAAGTATATCTTCTCCTTGACTTATGACCATCAGAAAATGAGACCACAAAAAACAAAATTACCAAATAGAGCAAAAAAAGAAAGGTAACTACATTGGTAAAGTCAGAGTTCTGGGAATTGATGCCTAGAGCGCATTCATGGCTAACAACAAAATTTGTTTGACCCTACTGCATATGGCAGATTATCTCAAACCATAATATAATGAAAACATTGTCAAATTTGTTCTCGTTGAGTTTTGAAAACCTGTTCCACACTGGCGTATGTGCGTGTTTGGAACGTGATTATGCTGAAAAATAATGGCATTTTACTTAAAGGTCATCCCAAGCTTTTGGAAAATGTATAATTTATGTGCACATTGTGTATATTAACAACGTTAAGTCCTTAGAGGCATTACTTTTTAAACCGCAATCCTATCCCAGCTATGTTAAGAAGAAGTAGTATGCAAATAAATTCAGACTTAACTTACTGACCATACGATGACTGTTGATGAGAGCGGGAAAAGGTGCCTGATTGGATCCTATAAATTAAACATACATAATTCCACAGGATTAAAAAAAAAGATATAGTTTAACAAGAAAAGATGAACTTAGGAACAATGATTTCAGAATGAGAGTCAGCACAGAACCAATACTGAATTTTATAGGTAGACAACAAATTAAATGATTTAGCCATGTAACAACCCTGGCATCAGACAGGACACCCCAGAGAGCAATATTATACAGAAACAACAGTAACAAAGCCAGAGGTCGACCACACAGACGACGGACCACAAAAATATCAGAGACACTGAAAAGTACTTTACACGAAGCGAATAGAAAGGCCTGTTTCAGAGATCTCTTCCTGCCCTAAGGCCATGAGAAGAGAAAAGAAGATGATAATAGAATAGAAACATCTAATATGAGCCCTAAGGGACAAATAATTGGTACAACATGATTATGACGAACTTACTGCGCTTGCATGGTTCTCCTTCTGGATCCCATTTTAGCATCCGCAGCTCCGCTGATGCTTGACAAGACCATGATGTTGATTCTGATTCTCCATTGCACTGCAGGAAAAAACCAAGACTCTTCTGCCTGTCAGCATGGTTTTTTCGAGGCATTGCCATGATTTTCCTGAAAATTTAGCCAAACAGAAGTCAAAATTCTCTGCAACATTTCTGTCTGTTACAGATATCTAAAAACGGTGCAGAGATTTTCACATATGTAAGCAAAGACAATTCTTCTTCTCTAGCAATCAACTTTCATTGTGCATCTATTCCAGCTTAGATCACAAACATAACGGCCTGAGGTCCACACTGCTGCACAGTTGTTTGTCTTGCAGGGCCATTCCTTTCTCTGGCTTGAAAATTCTAGGCAATCAGATAAGATTTGCTCAGGAATTTGCACTGGTTGACCACATCCGCATTATGTCATAGACGGTTTGTTTTTCTGATCTAAATTCTCAATGAAGTATAGGGTCCTCTGCCATTCTCAGTGGATGTGTATCAACAAAGGGATTTTATAACAAGAGTCAAAAGAGCAAATAAAGTACCAGCAGACAAAATAATTTTTGCTTTCCAAGTACTGTGTGAAGAATAAAATATGAAGAGTATACTTTAACAACAAAATAGTAAAACCAACATAGATGGAGGATGATAATAGGATGCAATTATGATAGTCTATAATGTTAACCAAAGCAATGTTTCCCCGATGTGAATTTGAACAAAGAAGACAATCCATCCAGTCGCTTCACAGTTGACTGTGGGAGGCGACATATAATGTTAACAGCAAACCACATACCATGGCAGATTCCTAACCATGCATGGTGGACTGAGAGTAGATTCTTCAAGTTTGCTGAAGTTCTCCACAACAAACTGGAATGTAGCTTCTGCTCGACTTTCATCTGGGTACAGAATACAAATAGTTAATGTTCTAAACAACAAAGACTATAAAACAATCTAGTAATTAATACTCTTTCAGTACTAAGCAACTCACATGTGTTTACTGATCAGTCTGTCTATGGTTTTCACTGGCCAGCTTTTTCTGTTTAATCATTCTTTTATGTTCCTTAGTTCTACAGTCTGAGCGATTACAACATCGGACTCTCATATAGGAGACCTGCATCTGATTCCCGGTAGGGTGGAGTTTTCTGTCAGGAGCAAAATTAAACATCCTCACCTGCATAGTTCATGGTAACAGCACTAACCATGTGGCCCTAAATCCTCAGGCTCATGACCCATTGTGAATAACTGTGTTGTGTAAACATAAGGATCACAGAGTTAATCTAACAAACACTTCATGGTGAGATATAAAGTGTAACAATAGACAATCTTATTTGTGTTTCAGTCAAAGGGTTGAATTTTGTACTCCATAACATGATGTAATTTTGAGTATGCACTTGACACAGTGGGGAGTCACTGTGGTGTAGTGACTCTACTTCTAGTCTGCAGATCCGAAGTTCATGGGTTCTGGTTGTGAAGGAGCCAGACATTTTTTAACAATGACCTTGGCTCCCAGGTTGACTCAGTCTTAAATGGGCACTAAGTAAATTATTGGGAAGTAAAGGCAGCCGGTGTGCTATTGACACGTCAAGTATCAATTGGTCTATAAAATACAGATCTAGCCCTATGGCATGGAACAAAGTCCTTTACTTGATACAGTGAAATACACTAGGCAATATATTGTGCCATATACTGTTGTTGTCTTCATAATTTGAAAACGTTAGTGCTAAACCTCTTACATTCAGTAACCTACAATATCTGTCAGTATTATAAGCTCAGGATTTCACTCTTAATGTAATCCTTAGTTACTGTTTTTCTATACTTTGTTTCTATGATGCAAGCAAAACAAGTGGAAATTCTACAAAAGCATCAAAAGCCCATTTTATTTTATCTGAAACTTTCACACTCTTCTTCCTTATGTGCCCCGAAGAGAAAGTCACCTGTACTGTGTCTGTTAGCATAGAAACTGAAATGCTATCTCTGTATCCTTTTTTTCACATTCCACAATAAGTCCTCATGTTTTTATTTGCAATTTTAGGTATATGTCTGCCACTTTCTTAGTTAGGTCCAAAGGCTGATACAAAGTTCTTAGACAATAATTGTTGTTTCCTCTTCCCTTCCACAATGGGTGAGAACAATAACTTTTAAAACACATCAAAGATAGCCTTATTATTTGAAACAATAACAACATTACAAAACCAAGGCAGAAAACACCACCCCGTCACCCATTTTTTTTTTACCTTCTTCCATCTCTTCATCGTTGGAAAGCGGTGGTTTCACATCACCATTGACTGCACCTTGGGCTTCACTTCCATTGTGACAGTTATTACCTAGCAAAATGATTTATAATCACAATGTCAGCATCATTTTAATAATATGAAACATATACAGTGATTCCATTCACGATACTGAGGGGACTTCATAGGATATCACAAAGGAACAGAAAAAGAGATGGTGAACTTTATATGACATATAGTGTGGCACAACCAGACACAGAATGAATGAAATATACAGTGATGCTGGCTGGAGTGTGTTGACAATGGACTGCCTACAGTATGCATAGGAAACATTAAGAATCTAGATGTGGTCGGCAAACTCATTAGTCAAAAGAGCCAAAAAACAGCAGCAGGACAATTAATATTTTGTTGAGAGCCAAATTTCTTTTCAAGAACCCGTCAAGAACCATGTTTTTTTGAGTCAACACCGACTTGTGGCCAACTCGCACTCAGGTCACTAAAGAGCCACATGCGGCTCGCGAGCAGCGATTAGCTGTCAACTGACCTAGATCAATTAATTTCTAACCAATCCATTGTTCTGCTGAATCATATCCTGGTTACATTAACTTCTTCTTAAAGGTGTGATTGGCATGCTACATTGTGGTTTATGGCTAGGCTGTGATGTGGAGAATGATCTTGACTTTGCAGAAGCTATCATCATAGAGAGGGAAGATAGTGACCCAAGAAGAAGTAAAGAGAAGGAACAGATCAAGAAGAACGTGGGTACTGTGGAGGATGATGACGACTTTCCTGAAGCTATCATCATATAAAGGGAAGATAGTGGCCAGTATAACCTGCAGTCAACTAACGCGCCCAATACAGCCAAGAATGACACACCAAGAGACATGCTGGCAGTAGAACCAACTACATCAAAGAACACTATTACAACTGAGGAATCAGATGATTGTACGATCGAACAAGCTTATATGCCGGCTGAGGAGGAGACTCCAAACAACGCAAGAATGTCCAACGTTCCTATCATCAAGACACGAGTAAAGATTTACCAAATAAACGAAGGAGGAACCAGACTCCTGGACTTGTCGAGAACCAAAATAACCAGATACCTGGAGACTTCACTGGGGATAGGAAGCATATGCAGAATCAGAAAGACACAAGAGGGTGTGATCGTTACGCTGAATGAAACAAAACAGACGAAGAGAATGACTGAGGACATTGGTATACAGCCTACAATAGAATTACAGCTACCGGAAAAGATACTGGTTGCAGCCAAGATGTTTCAGGAGATCCGAAAGTGGGTGGTCAAGAGAGTGAATACTAAATGGTCAAACCAGGAGATCACAGAGCACTTGAGGAGCAGAGATTTGCAGATATTGTGCTGACTCTCACTCCTATAATGAGTGTCCATTAGCAAAGCAAGGTAAAAACTATCAAAAACCAAATAGCAATCGACGATGCAGCAACTGTTTTGGACAGCACGGGGCGAGGTGTTTTGGATGTCCTTATCTGCAACATTGACAGGAGATCCTCAAGATAGCAATTACTGAGAGAGTACCATGCAAAGAATCCAAATACTTCACCACAGTGGAGAAATCCAGGATGCAGAATCAGATCAGAAAGTTAGAAGAAGAAGTCAAGATATTAAAGGCAAATAAGTTGACTCCAGAGAAAAACATGCCAGAAATTAATGACCAAGCAAGACAGATACTTGCAGAGATGAAGGAGATGAGAGAGATATTGGACTACAATATAAAGACACTTAATAACATAAAAGCAGCACTACAGGAATTGCAGAAAAGGCAGGATGAAAGCCGTGAAGACAACAGTTTCAAGCAACCTCAAATAGACCAAGACAACAGCAAAAAAGCCAATAGACGATAAACCAAAAGAAACATCGCTGAAAGAGTCTACTGGTAAGCAGCAAGAACTTGAAGACAGACACAATGCAGAAATGAACAGAAGGTTTCCACCAGGAAGCATCACAACCAAAGAAGATGGAAGAAAACAAGCTCAATACGGAAAGAGACGAGAGAGGCGACAGAAGACAACATCCACAGACACCTACCAGCCAGACCCAAAACGTCAAACAACACAGAGGACGCCAGACAAAGATGAGAAGCAGAAAAAACACCAGCAAAGATGGAAAGACAAAATTACATAAAAGTCCTTGTAAGGACTAAGCATTATTACATCCTAGAAGCCAAGACAGGGCGGAAAAATGTGACAGGAAGAATAGAAGCCAGAAACAACCAATCAGAAAAAAGGAATCACAAGACGACGAGAGAATAGGACAGAACCAAAATGCAATATTCAGATGTGCCCTAACATAATCAGGAACGAAACAAAGAGACACAATTAAGAAATAGAAGACCCTTGCCTCTGGATATAACAACACCAGGTATAAAACAACCCTATACAAGGAAGAAGCAACATCAATTAAACCGTTTAGAACAACATAACAAAATGGAACCGAAGGAAACCATATTCAAACAAACCATACTCAATACAGATCGCAAATATAGGTATCAGCTACATAGCTGAAAATGTCTGAACGAGATCGAATTATCCTTTTCTTTTACAAGAAGCCAGCCAGACCATTACCCATAAAAAGAAGGGAAAAAAATCTCAAGACAGTTTATAAATACTGGTACACAACATATTTGAAATGTGCACTATTCCATGCTTTTATCTTCATTATCTGAGAAAAACGTTATTAACACTCCTCATAAACATCACACACACACACAAAAGGCAGACCTTAACAACAACAAAAGAGAGATATATAGAAGCTAATAAGGAAGTGAGGAGGTAAATAAGGGCAGATAAATGGAAACATTTAGATGAGCTAGCACAAGAAGTGGAGACAGCAGCATCAATAGGAAACCTTAATGAACTTTCTCTTCATCTCTTCACTTCCTCTTTTACCGCTGTGGGTGTCGAGGGAGATATAAGGTTCTGTCTCCAGGTCTTCTGGCCGCCTCGACCATAAGCACATCATGCTGCTGTAGAGTTTCTCTGATGTTTTCCTTTCATCTTGTTCTTGGTCTACCTTGTGCTCGACGTCCTTCTTCTCTTTCCATGTATGCTTTGTATGGTATGGTGTCACAAGGCATTCTCTCTAAGTGGGCAAACCATTTCACTTGCTGTCTTCATATGTAATTTAGAATTGGTTCTGTGCCTACTTTTTCTCTTATGATCTCATTCCTGATCTTATCTCTTATGGTCACTCCCACAGCCCTTCTCAGATATCTCATTTCCATGGTTACTAATTTTCTTGTGTGGTTTTTTGTGAGTGACCATGTCTGGCACTGGTAGAACAGAGTTGGAATAAATATGCTTTGAATAAGATGTCTCTTTGTGCTGATTGGGATTGTCTTATGCTGTAAGAGGGGGGCTAGCTGTCCCAATACTTGGTTTGCTTTACTGCATCTAATGTTAATTTCTTTATCCAATTTCCCATCTTCAGTAAATTTAGTTCCCAGATATTTAAGCTCAAATGCCTGTTTAATGCCTTTGCACTCTATTGCTATGTTTAGATCTGTCTTCTTTTTTCATATTGACATTACTTCTGTCTTTTCAGTGTTGATTCTCATATTATTTGCTTTACATTCTTCATTCATGGATGTTAGATGTTGTTGCAATTTCATGGCTGTATCTGCTATTAAGGCCTGGTCATCTGCAAAGAGTAATTCGTTGTTCTTACTAACATTTTCATTCATGGGCTTGGCATTCTTGCATATACTGTCGTCGTAGGTGATAAACAGCAGTGGTGATAAGACACACCCCTGTCTTACTCCAGATGTTACTGTAATTGGATGAGATGTTCCCTGATTTATTCTAACTACACTTCTACAATCCCTGTATAAACTTTTGCACACTTCGATGAGGTGTTTGCTTACTCCATATCTTGCCATTACTTTCCATAATAATTGTCTGTCAACTCTGTCAAATGCCTTCTCCTTGTCTAGGAATGCCACAAATAAGTTCTTATTGTATTCAATGTTCTTTTCTATGAACTGTTTAAGTGTGAAGATTGCATCTGTGCAGCTTCTATTTCTCCTAAATCCCATCTGTTCTTCCGCCAGCTGTCGTTCTATCACTGGTCTCAGTCTTGTTTCTATTATCTTGGCATACATTTTGCCAACATGGCTTAAAAGAGAGATGCCTCGGTATTGACCGCATTCTCGTTTGCTTCGTTTGTTCTTGCACAATGGTAAAACTATTGCATGTTGCCAATCAATAGGGGTAGTTTGTTGTACCCATGCTGCATTAAATATTCTGTGAAGCCATCTGATGCTGCTTTCACCTGCTGTTTGAATTATTTCTGTTGGTAATCTATCAGCTCCTGGTGCTTTATATTTGGGAGACTGCTTAATGACTTTTTCTATTTCATCCATTAGTATGTGTGGTTCTAACACTGTGCTCTTCGGTTGTTCTTTCCTGATGATCTCTTAGAGGATTAAAGAGCTCATTGAAGTATTCCCTCCACCTTTCTGCTATCTCGGGTGGATCTATCAATGGCCTTCCTGTCTTATCATTAATTATTTCAGTTGGGTTGTAGCTCTCATCTCTTTTCCGCATTTTTTAATTACTTTGAAAAATTTTCTGCTGGCTGTTTTCTCATTTTCTGCTAATGACCTTTACAGCACCATAAGGAAATTAGTGGTTTAAAAAAACCAATCAACTATATCAATCAAGCAAAGGTTCATAAAAAAAAAAAAAAACTAAAGAATAAACGGACAGGTGGGCTGAATATCTGAAGCACTTATGAACAGACCAGCCCCCAAAGGCTCCTCCAGATATGCAGCTTTTCTACATGAAACTGAATAACAACTGTGATACACAATATAATGAGGAAATTAGGAAACTTGTCAATCTTTTGAAGGAAGAGAAGACTGCAAGTACAGATGGTATCCAATTCAAAGTTATAAACCCAAAGAAACTACTACATAAATTATTCAGTAAAGTTTGGGAGACTAAAAAAATAACAGCTCATTGAAAAGGAGGATATGTTGTAAAGTTGCCCAAAAAAGGTGACCTGCAGGAGTGTGAAAACCATACAGGAATTATGCTGCTGAAGGGTCCTGGAAAAATATTAAGTAGTATTATTTTGGAAAGTCTAAAAGGTGTGATTGATAAACAGCTAGGAGGTAAACAGGCAGGTTTTTGGCCAAACAGATCCTGTAGAGACCAGAAAGCCACACTACGCATAAGAAGAAGCAAATGCACTTTACAATAGATTTGTAGACTATGAATAAGCTTTTGACAGCACTGACGAGGAATCTCTCAGGCACTATGGGATCCCACAGAAAATTATTAACTCAGTAAAGGCAACAAAGTCATGAAATCTTGAGTTCATGTGGGAAAACATACGCCATTACATCCAGAAGGAGAAAAAAGGGTTGCAGTAACGGCAGCTTTCTGATGTCTTGACAACAGCACAGCCCAGTATGTGACTGATAATATTTCTCTTCGACCCCCATAGGATAATAAACATGATGCAAAATCATAACATTAAGGTCTAAAAATTCACAAAGGAAAGACAAAGATCATGAGTATAAATCAGAGCTGACAGACTAGCATGTCTGCAGTGGTTAGGGGAGGAAGAAGTATGGACAGGGCAGACATGATTAGGCATTCTAGAGACACTGAGACAAGGGAGTCAAAGATGATGAACTGCCTGTTGGAAGCAGTATTTAATGAGGACAAGCATGCAGCAAACTGGTTGTGCAGCAAGGAAAGAAGATAAACCAGTCAATTCCTATTGGGTATGGTTAGCATAGAGACACACACAAATGGTTATTGCAATGAAGGACGAATGGGTTGGACCGATGTGCTGGAATGTTGGGCACTCTTCCGAATACCGGTCTACTTAACACTAAACCAGCTAATCAAGAAATGATGTTGGCAGGGTATTGGATAGGATACACGTTGAGAAAACATAATGACAATATAAGTAGTATGTCTGGCTATCCTCTGAAAAACGGTCCCAAATTATCGAGGCCGAAAATATACCTTAACAGGACCTCAGTCACATGTCAATTGTTTTACTTTAAGAGACTATACCGCCACCGCCGAAAGTATCTCCCATGCCGCTACGCGCGGCATGGATTGGGGCTAAACTAGATGGCTGGGACTCACAGCAAATAAAATGAAGGAAGCTGCAGGAGATGCTTTAGCTGCTGCTCATGAGTCCCAGCCATTTAGTTTAGGCCCCATCCATGCCGCGCATAGCAGCGTGGAAGATACTCTCCGCGGTGGCGGAAGTCGCCGCAAGTGCACAATTTAAGTCGCCGGAAGTGAGCAACTGACATGTGACAGGCCCTGTTAGGGTATATTTTCGACCTCGATAATTTGGGACCGTTATTCGGAGGATAGCCATATCCCTTTTTGCACTGTCCGTAATCCACAGGGGCATAAAGGCAGACTAAAAAACACATGGAGAAAGGAGCTGGAGAGTGAAGTTAAAACCATGAGCAGGTCATGAAGTGAGTTGCATGCAACAGCAAAGGATACGTCGTATCATACGACTTGGTGTGATTTGGCTGAATTGCCCTATGCTCCACTAAAGGGGCAGACAGAAGAGGAAAAAAATCACTGGTAATAGTAATTAATGACTTTAAGTCCCTTAATTTTTTTTTAAACAATTTATTAATTTATTACTACTAGTAACTAGTAATTAAAGAGGGTTGTTATTTACTAGTCACAATAAATGTTAAGAATGTTACAATGTGGACCTTTTCATTTGATCTACAAGGTGACAAAGACAGGGTTAGTCAAGTTAGTAAATTAGCACAACAGAACTGAACTTAATAATAGAATGAATTGAATGTACAAAATGTATACAACACACTGACTACACACGTGTGTCTCTGTGCTAAAATGCTGTTAATACTCGACGACACAAGAAGTAGTGTAAACAAATGAAGATCAAGATAATGCAGAAATAAACACACCATCGTGGTCTGTATCCATTTCCTCGGCTTCTGGCTTGATTCCAATATGATTGTCATTTCCATGGTTCATCATATTGTTGCTCATCATGGAAGTGTTAATTTTGTGACGGTCATCAGTTTGAACTGCTGGTGGTGATGTGACCGTTTGTTTTGCTCGCCCCGGAGTCTGGAGACTTCTCTGCGAGACGGTCACCTTTACGTGTTTACTAGCAATTCGCCCAATGTCTGCAGATTTGACCCCAGTGATGGGGCAAACTGCTACGAAACAAGTTGAAATCTCTCAATGTGACTGAGACCACGGGCGCCTGGACACGAACAAAAATAAACAAGATGGCGGTCTCGCGGTTAGGGCCAGTGGGTTATTCTCTGCTATTGTCTATCGTTTTAAATAAGATACTTACTGTCATTATGCGTCACCTTCGCTGTCATTTGAAATTTGGAGCGACACAGCAGAAAATATTTTAACGCGTTTAGTATTATGAAAGCGCTCAAAATAGATCAAATTTTCATTGGGCCATTAAAGGAGAAGTTTTCCCGTAAGTGCAGGATTGATGGGGTACCAAATTGGCCTGTAGCAGGGCTGCCAATGAGATTTTTGTCAAAAACCCAGATCGGGCTGACGAAAACCCAAGATATGAACAAATAATAAAATAAAAAACCCAGCACTGTGCAAAAAGTATTTTATAGTTGTGAAACTGAACATATACCCACCTTTATTAAACTGTTACTCTAACAGCTCTCCTTCTTCACCAATTTCAATTGTCACCGTCTCTTTCTGTTTTTTTTTATACTGTTTAAATATCTTTGACTAACTGCGCCACTTTGCAATTCTTTTAGCAATTCTTTATTAGGTGTCCATGTCGTGCAGTCGCCATTTCCTCTTGTGATTGCTTGCCTTGCAAGAATTCGATCTTTTACAGTGTCTGCTTTCAGAGAATTAGTTTGTTTAGTTTTGACACAGATCATCAGGAAAAATATGCGTTCAACCGCTGCTGGCGAGTGAGGCAAAATAGTGAGATTGGTCATAAAAGCGGATAAAATATCATTTTTTACATTTTAGGCCATCTTTTATGCTTTTCAATTGGTACCAATACTGCCATTCCTCTTTGAAACACCTGGCATACCATTTTCTTTTCTTCTATGGTGTAATCTGTTCACTCATTTTGAATTCAACAAGGTTATAATCAGAGTAAATTTTGATAGCACAGTTCAACAAACCACAACACAGAAAGAAAAAAAAGAAAAAAAAAACTAGTGAAAACTTAACTAAAGGTCCCTCCCTAGTAGTCCTTAGTTGGTTTCTGCTAATCTGCTTTATTTCAATTCAACCACTGAGACGCTACAATGTCAGGTCAATTACCCCTAGAAGAGAGGAAAAGTCTCCCAAACTTTCTTCAATAATTAAATGTCAGGTCACTTCTTTCTTCTGTAAAGTTTACGATCAAAAGTCCCAGGCTTAATCTATTTTGCTTCTCCGCCCCTAGTATCTGTTACTTAAGGGACACTACTCGGGGATCCTAAATCTGGTCCTTTGGTGGTCTGCTACATTTTTCCTGAATAGCCCTGGAGTTAACCTTTGTATTCTGTTACATTAATTACACTGAGTTTATTTTAAGTGTTTGTAGGACATTTCAAAATATAATTTGCGGGTAAAACTATTATAGATATGTGTACACACATTATTCTTGTTAGAATATTTATTAATTGTAGTTTTTTTTTCATCATTAAGACTGAAAACCCAAGATTTTCAATAATTTTAAAAATAAAAACCAAGAAACCAAGACGGCAACTAAAAAACCAAGATCTTGGGGGAAAAACCCAGCATTGGCATCCCTGCCCTGTAGTGGTGAGATTTATCAACCCTGAAGGTTAGGTCATTCTAAGCACAGAACCTCGGCAAACACTTTTGACGTTTTATTATATTTTCTTTGGTTCTTTTAGTCAACAGCAGCACAAAAATCAGTTATATTTTAGGCTTCGAAAAAAGGCGTGTTTGCGATTATTTTCTCATTCTATCTTTGTGATGAACTAAATAAACGATTAAATTTTAGAATTTGAAAAATTATCTTCGCGAATTCGAATATCAATACCCGTCTGCATACCAGACTGCATATAAGACTTTTTACCGTTTAACATTTAGGAGGAAGGCGAGAGGAAGACGAAGAAAGACATGGATAAATGGTGTAGATTAAACCTGCAAAAAGGTGAACAAATCCATCACCCGAACCATCTGAGAAGCGCAAGACAAATACAGAAAACCACAACACTGGACTACAAGCTGGTAACAGTGAGACGACAAAATAAAAAGGTGAATACTTGTCTTTTTAACTATCCCAGACCTTTTATTTTTTCAAGCGGTACGTAACGGTACGCAGTATAGGTACCTTCTAAAAGCTTAATTATTTTCGAGTCTGAAAAAGTTTTCAAGACCAATTTCGGTACTTTTTCTCTGAGTACCGGCATCGTCTTTCTTGAAAAAAAAGGGGGGGGGGGAGCGGTAGAGGGGCACTGAGTATGAGTATAATCAACATAATGTTACTCTGCTGATTAAGCAGGAGCCATGGTTCGCCATCCCATACAGCCACTATAATCATGGATCAGGCCGCTGCTAATGATCCGCCCCATCAGCGTGACTCAGCCACACAGGCATTTATCCAGGTTTAGGAGTATGGAGTGGCTAGAATAACACAGTAAGGTGGTTGATGTGTGTTTGTGTTTTCTGTCAGGAACAAAACTCAAATCCCATCACGGACAGTTCTTGGCGACTACACTAGCCATTTTGCCTCAAAACCTCGGTCTCTAGATATCCCCCACCCCTACCGCCCTTCTACATTGTATAATCAATGCCGTGTGGCATCGATAGTCATGAATATCCAGAACTTTCTGCCCCGTGTACTTTTAATAATTCTGACACAGATGCTCTTCCATGATATGATGTCAAACTGTCCATTATCTTCTCTCTCGGTCTCCGTCTGCTTCTTCTCCCCTCCAACTTTTCGTTCGTCACTATGTGCTCCAGCTTTTTCCTTCTCCTGACATGTCCAAAGAATGTAGATTGTCTACTTCTGTTGCTGCTCCTTCTGTTGCTGGCAATCAGTCTTCTTCGTCCGTTAGTTTTTAAGACATTTTCTTGTGTCTTTTTTATCTGTACAGGATGTTCTCATCATTCGTCTATAAAATCTCCGCTGCTTCCACGAACGTTTACACACCGTCCTAAAATGTGATAAATACAGAAGTATAGTCATTTTTAGGGTTACGCCTTGAAGACAGTGGGGAAAAAGGGGGGGGGGGGAGATTGCTAGTTAAAATAACTGATAAGTGCTACTGTCAGTCAGAATTTGAAGATAACTCATTCTTTCAGACAGAGTGAGAAGCGCAAGATCAAATGTTTCGGTATTGATTAGCAACTCTAGTTACCATCCCATACGTTACATCTAAGAATACGTTATATGAGAAGAAGATGATGAGATTAAAAATATGGTACTTTCAATTACATGACAATAGCCAGTATCACCCATGGAACGCTGGATCACCTAGTACCATCACTATCACCTTTCATTATGAAACTTGTCGAAGTTGATAGCAATTGAACATAATGAACAGATAAAGGTTAACTTGAGTTGGTTCCAGTATGAGACATACTGGACTCATGCTGAATATAATAGAGACAAAAACTGAACAGATGATGTCCAGGGGTAGGGAGGGACTTCATCACACAAACATTCAAGAATACTAGGATGCAGGTTAATACTAACTAAAAAGATTGGATGAGAATAGAAGCGAGTGGAGTGACACAGTCAGAGGATTCCCAGAGTATCATAAAAAGATACCAAACAAGAAGAACTCCAGCAGCAGTCCCATTCACCTAATGAATGAATAAAAATGTGAGAAACAGAAGCAATTATTCCACCAGCCCCCCCCCCCCCCCCCCCCCCCCCCCCACCGAACTATATTTCCAGGACCCACGCCCTAACATAAATTATTTTCACAGGGATCCCCGCCCCAACCTAAATTAAAGTGCAACTTTAAACACCATCAATGAATTTGAGCACTTGACAATTCTCTTTAATTCACGGATAAGGAAAACACATTAAACGCATATTTCTCCTACTAGTCTGTGTTTAAATTTAAAAAAAAAATTGCTGTGGGGATTTTCACTTAGCTTTCCCAGGTTAAATAATAATGACTAATTTTGCTGACTTTATCATCTATTATGTAAATTTTGTGGTGTCATATATTTTCAGTCATTTTGCAGGAGATCTTCAATCCTACCTAAACGTGTATTCACGTTCTTACCTGCACAGGACTGTAGACCACACCAGACTGTTGTGGTCGTTACGAATGCCCTAATTATAACTTCCTTGGAACTTGAAATGGGTATCTGGCTATCCCTGTTAGTCTGACACCAGCCCTGAAAATTTGTCAGTTCCTTTTGGTCTGTTGTCGAGACTGAGATCGCATTATCTCAGGATGTCAAACTTTTCCTATACCAACTCAGAGTGAATAAGCGGCACGCAAGCTTAACTGAAGTCTTTATATAACATTAAAGCTATGTGGTGTACGATCACACCAATACTGTTCGTCATGGCCATGCAGATCACGTTAGACTGGGCGGCCGGCTACGAACAGGGCCTTCAAATTGGGGATCACTGGATGCCGCCACTACGCGCACATATGGATGACACGACAATAAATAATTACGGGCAGCGAGGAGTCTGCCCGCACGATCCTGAAAAGATTGGACGCGGTGGTCCAATGGAGCGGGATGCAATTCAAACCGCAGAAGTCGAGGAGTCTGTCAATCCTTAAAGGCATGGTATCGGCAACCAGTTTTACGGTGGCAAGGAATAAGATTCCTACGGTTCTGGAGGAACCAGTGAAGAGCCTTGGTCGCGTTTACGATTCGAAGTTATCTGATAGAGCGGAGGTCCGGCGAATACACGAGTCACTGGCTACAGGCCTGCTCGCGATCGAGCGTAGCAGGCTGATTGGGAAGTTCAAGGTCTGGTGTCTCCAATTCATATTGATTCCAAAGCTCCTCTGGCCGCTGTTAGTCTACGAAGTGACGATGACTGCAGTGGAGACAATAGAGAAAAAGATCAATACAGCCTTAAGAAAGTGGATTGGTGCACCGCCTTGTCTGACTGACGTGGCTCTGTATTGTAAGCAGGCTAAGCTGGTACTCCCGTTCAAATCGATAACCGAAGAGTTTAAAGTCGGCTCTTGTGCGAGTCTTCAGACCCAAATGTCATCGCTGTCCAGCCCGCTCTAAAGACTGGTCAGAAGTGGAAAGTCCTCGATGCAATCGAATCTGCCCAGAATGCACTAGAATTAAGGGAGATTATGGGATACACTCAAACGGACCGTCGAGGCCTAGGTCACGGGAAGGTCAGTTGGTGGTCCAAAGCCATAGCCAAAGAGCGCCGAGACATGGCGATACAACAAGTGAGGGACAATGAAAACGAGGTTTGGGCCCAGAAAGCAGCCCAGCAGTCGCAGCAGGGCCATTGGGTCAGCCTGAAGAGCTCATTGCCAAAAGTACTCACATGGGGTGAGATCTGGCGAATGACCCCGCTGCGACTGAGCTTTATCGTTCGTTCGGCGTACGATGTATTACCGTCCGGTGTCAACATGGTGAAGTGGTCTGCGACTAACGACCCGACTTGCCCGCTGTGCAGAGCGAAGCAGACGTTAGAACACGTTCTGTCCGTCGACAAGACTATTGTTATTTTATGGTAATTACATCAGCTGTTCTATGTCTAGAACAATCGGCTATCTAGTGTAACTTGGTATTTCATTGAATGATACTTCATCTTTCTTTAGTCTTCTTCGCGTTCACCACCTGTAAACTCCGGTGGCAAGTTCTGGTCTTTCGTCTTCTGCTAAACTTTAGTCTTGTTCCAGAACCGGAATGTTGTGTGCACATCTGTTTTACAGATCTGACTTATTTGGATGCAAATTGCTGTTCCCTTGCTCTCAGGCAGATGCATCCCACTTTAAAGGAAGCCCCCTTTAGTCGACTCTTACGACATGCTTCTTAGGGAGGCAGTGGGTCTATTCTTATTTTCCTTACAATGGGCTTTCGGAACCCACATGTGGAACAACCCTTCTCTAATAACTCAGTATTTCTGGTCACCATTGTGGTAATTAAATCTGCTAATCAAACCGTGTGCAGAGCGAAGCAGACGTTAGAACACGTTCTGTCCGTTGGGTCAGCCTGGAGAGCGCATTGCCAAAAGTACTCACATGGGGTGAGATCTGGCGAATGACCCCGCTGCGACTGAGCTTTATCGTTCGTTCGGCGTACGATGTATTCCGTCCGGTGTCAACATGGTGAAGTGGTCTGCGACTAACGACCCGACTTGCCCGCTGTGCAGAGCGAAGCAGACGTTAGAACACGTTCTGTCCGCATGCAGGAAAGCCCTAGGTCAAGGCCGATACACCTGGCGCCACGACAAGGTGCTAAAAGAGTTGGCAGTTGTTGTGGACCAGGCTAGGATGCGGGCCAATGCTAGGGCCAGTCCTACCGTCGTCCCCATACGCTTCCTCAAGGCTGGGCAGATTCAAAAAGGTAAAATCAACAAAGGCGCATTCGCTCCATCTATGCTAGACTCTGCGAGGGACTGGTTACTGGCGGTTGATCTGCCTGGCCATGAAAGGTACCCTGAGTCAATTCGGAAGACCGGCCTGCGACCTGACATAGTTCTCTACTCTGCGGAGAAACGGCAGCTCATCCTGATTGAGCTGACCGCCCCGTATGAGTCGCGAATGGACGAAAGCCACACGTATAAGCTCGAGAAATACAGTGACTTAGCAGCCGATCCTAGGAGAGACGAAGAGTACCCAATACGAGTCTTTGCCGTCCAAGTGGGAGCGAGAGGTCTCGTTTCCACTTCACTCTACAATGTGGTTAAAGAACTAGGATTGCGCGGTAATGAACGCAAACGGACACTTAAACAGCTGGGCGAGGTTGCTGAGAGGGCCTCGAGCTGGCTCTGGACACAACAAAACAACGCAGGGAACGGACCTCGGTGAGCTGGTCCGGGTGTCTAGTGGAAAAGAGTTTCCCATCCCTTGAAAGTCCATCGTGTCCGAATTGTCTGCCAGTGTCCCTCTGCCACCTGCTAACAAAAGTCCAACATGTGTCCGGTATACCAATCGTAAGCTTGTCGCTCGGTCGTCCAGGTATGCAGACTGCTTTAATTATGCTACCGCAACGACTTCTTATCTCACAGTACCTTCTGCAAAATCACCAATTCGTCTTGTTCTTATCCGAATAACATCCGGTAATTCGTGCAGCAGGGGAAAACCAACCCTGAGCTTCATGAACTCAGGTGGGCCCACTCTCTGAAAATGTATAGGAGCTGTGGGCCGAAACATTTGTCGACGAGAGGTTACTTCTACTTATGATTGGTAGACATCTGCTGTACATGCTCCCGTGTGAAGTTTCTTCTTCTCACTAAAACCCTTGTTTTAAAACGGTGGTGCATATGTGATAGGTACTTTCCCGTTTTGACGAAGAAGAAGAAGGCACACGAGAGTAGTAGTAAAGTACGTTTACAGCTAATTTTGCAGCAACTGCAGAGGTGGGTGTCACAATACATAGCGATTTTCGTAGATGTCCGATTCTCTCTCTCTCTCTCTCTCTCTCTCCCTCTCTCTCTCTCGCCCCCCCCCCCATTCACAAAACAGCGAGGGCTATATCTAAACTGACTTTTGACTAATCGACTTTTGTATAAATAGCAAGAACGGAACAACCAATTAAGATAGGCATAGAAAACAAGCAGCTCAAAGCTGATGAACGTGCAAAAGAAGAAGAGGAAGAATAGATCGATAAAATAGGGTATACCAACTCATGCCCATGCCTCAATAGCTTTAGAAAAACCGTTTGCCCTTTTTTTTTCTTGTTGGATTGGCTTTTTACCCCACCAGGACATCACACAAGCGATAAACACCCGATGACACAAAGTGCCACCATGCGGATGAGGATCACCGTGGAGAGGTCCCAGAAACCGCGTTCAGACATTTGGCCATATTGATGACCTGCCTATATTGCGGCCCCTGGCAATAGCCAGAGTGGGGCTTCAAATAACAAAAAATAACGTCCTAAGAAGGACGTAAGGAAATTCTTGTTACTCTACTGATTCATGTGTAAGAGCAAGAGGGCGTCCGAGAAGACTATAGACTGAATTTGATCGACGAGCAATTTGTCCCATCCTGACTGCCACCTAAATGGTTACTATATCATCACGTGATTAAAAATCCCAATCGGGACTGCAGACCAACAAAGTAGATCGAAGATACCCAGCTCAAACTAAAAAAAAAATATAATTAGGGCACCCTTAACGGCCAGGTTTAACAAGGTCCTTCTGTATAAATAGAGAAGGCCGTGGTTTAACCTGCAGCAGTACTCTGTAGGTAAGGGCGTAATATGATGCACTGAAGACCTTCGTCATACACCCACACATGTCGGCTGAAAGTCGCATACATCGCAGTGCTGTTGACCTCATCAAAACTGGTTAAAAGGGTCTCACGTAATTACCTCTTCGAATGAACCCTGAAAAAGAATATGCCCACATTGAATGACAATGACCTGTGCCATTAATTTAAATGGATCACAAACTGTTCCTCCCCGTCACGCAAACGTACAAGAAGATAAGGATAATTGTCTCTTTGCCACTTTGGGCGATGAAAAAAAAAAAAAAAAGAACCCAGAAGTAAATGTGTGAGAAATCTGGCCCATCGCGCCTGCGCAATGAAGATTTACTGTTGGATGTAGTATGTCAATAAAATCGGAATCTGGTTAGGGAAAAATTGCTCGAGAAGCAACATCTGTCTAACTTTGTACATAGTTTTCATGGTAAATACCACAAATCATGAGTCAAGAAGATAGTCATGGTGGTGATCAGACACCCGAGCATTGGTTTTCTAATTTTGAGGATGAATGTTTTGACGAATTAGAAAGTCAAGGAAGAATAGAGCCCCGACTTCAGTCAGCTGAAGAGTATGCAGCTCAACAGCTCTGGCAGGGGTTTCAACAAACTTCAACAGCGATCGCACAGTTGTATAATTATAAAGGTGCGTACTCTGTTACAGAAAGTTCCTATTTTTTTTAATATTATAAAAATAAAATTTAACACGATAACCGTATTATGAATAGGTACTTTCTGTACTTCTTCATTAACTTTACTTTCATCACATCACATCATCTGGTTTCATCTACTGGTCTTTCATTTCTTCCTACCAAGTAGTAATTTTAATTTAAGTATTTATAATCTAAATTTCGCATAGTTGAGTTGACTACTACTATTGAATAGATCTTAAAAAATATATTTAGGTGTTACCAATTCTCATTCAAGCCTCTAGTCTCTACATTATAAGACAGAATGTTGCATAATAATATTTTAATAACAAATTAATAATGTGTATGTGCATTCAATTATTACTATTATTATTCATTATAAACAACACAAAGGAAAACCGACCTTCTCAGCACTTTTATAAACAAAACAGTTTAGACCAACAGGTAAGAGTAAGATGGTTTGGCTGTCTAACCAGAATACCCTAGCACCAACAGCTACCACAGAGAGTCACACCAAAGAAATATAATGGACACAGCAAGCTGAAGATTGTAGAAAATGGAACCAAGAACAATCTCTAAGAAATGAATACTGACTTATAGTATACTTATACACACATTGAAAAGAATCTAACCTCTCTCTCCCCCCCCCCCCCCAACACTTTAATTTTAATGAAGTAACTGGAGAACTGAGTCCCAACATTTAAACCCCAAAAATGTATTTTTTAGGTAAAAAAACCCACAAACATTCTACCAAGAGTTGTAAATATGTTGGTCTTCATTTTCCAAAGATTGCTATTCAGTTATTGATGCTATTCTATCTATTGCATCCATGTCACTATACTTTGTTATGTTTTTCAACACAGTAAGTTTGTAATGTACAGTTGACAAAATGACAGCATAATTCATTGTATATTTTGACAAAGAATTTAAATAAATACGGAGTTTGATTCTCAGCAGTTTTTTACTGGAATGCTCTGTTTATGCTGAATATATTTACCTTACTGTACTATTAAGCCAGTGTTTATATCCTTCCATGGTACTGATACACCACACCCTGAACTTGTTATTGGAATTAATTTCTCATTTTGGTATTAAAATAAAAAATAAATTGAATGTATAATTAAATAACTCAGATTCTTGATGTAGCACTGTAGTAACACACTTAACGAGATACTGTGAAATGTGCCTGGCAGTAAATTGTGCAGTGTATTATTTGAGTCCACATTATTTAAATTCATTATGGGAAAAGATTGTTTTGAACTTCTAGATTACCTTTTATGATTACATTACATCAAAATGTTTAAGAAAACCAAAATGTTATAGTTTATGGCTTTATCTTTAATTAATGGCTGGAAAGATGATAACCAAATATAATCTGTTTATAATAATTTCAGTGCCTCCCCAAAAAAAAATATACAATTACCAGTTGTATCAACATGGGACAATCCAGTATTTTAGAGGGTGGTAAGAGCTGGTTTTTCATGTTTTCTTTGCTGTAGTGCGTTTCTTCCAAGGCCAGGGTTTTTGCTCGTTAACCTAACCCTGTGAAAACTCCAACACCGGTTGTTAGTTTATGTTCTGAGGTTGTGGAAGAACGAATGCAATTAAATACCTGGGGATATATTTTGATTGAAGCCTTGCTTATATTGAGCACATAGATAGGATTTTAATGAAAGCCAAGCGGGGTCTGGCTGCGATGAGAGTGACGGCGGTTGCAAACTGTGAGCAGCGTCATCTGTGTCTTCTATACCAGGGTCTGGTCCTTTCTGTTTTTGAATACGCGATGGCGATTCTGACTCTCAGCCATAAGCTGATGGAAAGGATACAGAACGAGGCTATGCGCATTATACTTGGGTGTACAAGAGATACACCATGTAGGGCTATGTGCTACCTTCTAAATTTTCCGACCATGCAAGACAGAATACGAATTTCCCAAGCTTGTGCCTACCTCACAGTCAAGGCGGACACACAACATCCATTACATAGTTAAATCAAGATGATAAAAGGCAGCAAGTTAAAAAGAGGCAAATCGTGGATGGGTCAAGCCGGGAACATTATTTTACAGGTATGTTCTTTTGAGGACATAGAACTCAGCGAGGAGTGGGTGCATGTGTCTTCAGAGTGCTGTACATCTTTTTCTGTTTGCATCCAACTAGACAGAAAATGCGGAGTCCGGCTGCTGGGGAAGCAAAAGTTCAAGCCTTGGTTTTCGAGAACTCTCTAGAGGGTGATGCTGTCATTTACACACATGATTCTGTAATCCGCCACATTAAAAGCTCGTGGGCTTTCACGGCTCAGTTTAGAGGGAGAGTTGTGAAGGAAGATTCTGGAGCTTTTGCCGTAACTACAAATCGTCTGACTATGGAGGTCATGGCTGTGACTAAAGCAGTAACATGGCTAGAGTCACAGACTTTCACTGGAGCATGCTTTCTCAGTGACTCGATGAGTATGCTCAGGAAAATAGACAAGTGCTGGGTCCGAAAGTAGTGGTTGGTGGCTCTACAGAATTCACAGCTGACAAGGATTAGTTTCATATTCGTGCCTGGACATGTGGGGGTACAAGGAAACGAACAAGCTGACAGGCTTGCAGGTGAGGCTACTGTGAAAGCCGGACAAGCCATGGACCAGGCTCATATACTGAATGCGCTAAGAGAGTTAAGACGTCTGCGTGAACCAACTGAGAACTGAATCTGCAACCATGGTGCAAAAACAACATATTAAACAAGGTGTCGCAAAACAAGAACACTACTCGGGTAGCCAAATAAGAAGAATAAACCAACACAGAACTGGTGTCGTTAGCCGCTACAGGCTGCGGGATTTACTGAGGATGGGATCCGATCACTTATGGACTGAGTGGTTCGACATGCAGGATAATCTGTCGACTAACTAACCTAACCCTACTCCTATCTATAATCCTAACCTAACCAAAACTACACACTTAATCTACCACCCCCTGAAATATTTGACTGTCCCGTGACCTGTGGATTTCCCCTATTTGTGGTCAGCTTATAAGAAAGTACAGAATTTTGTTATCTTTCTTCCTTGGTCATGGTCATGTTGTTTGATTACATTTAAATCTTAAACTCTCTGTTGCAAAATTACAGACTTGCTAGGTCTATTGGAATTCCACCAAAGCGCTATTAACCAGGATGGCCTTTAATGGTTACCAAAGCAGCCATCTGGCAGAATTCCACTCTAATGCTGCACAAGGCTTTTTTTATTACTGTAGGAAAATGATCTGTAAATGTTTTAATGTGGTAACTAAATGAAACCATGTAGATAAAGCCAGTAAATTGACTGGTTTATTTTTGTGTGTTTCAGATGTTGCCCATGATGGCTATGTTCTTTTGGTTCCATTTAACAGAGCTGCAGAATCTTTAACAAAATTTTATAAAGGTATTTGTATTTCAAAACATTTTTGTGTCAATTCTGTGAAACTATATTTTTTTTTTACTTCGTAAGGATAGACACTGATGTGGTCATTTATACTTATTCCTGGCCTGTACATTTGTAGTATTTTGTTTCTCTTTTGTTGATTTTACCTTTTTGAATCTGCCCAGTCTTGAGGAAGCATATGGGGACGACAGTGACTGGCCCTAGCATTGGCCCGCATCCTAGCCTGGTCCACAACAACTGCCAACTCTTTGCCTCTCCAGTTTTCATTACCCACTGGGTTTTGGTTGAAAATAGGACAGTTATCTGGTGTGACTGGCTATTTTCATTAACAATGTTTTATCTTCCTTGAGTTTTGGTCACCAGGCTATTGTTATTTTGTGGTAACTAAATCAGCTGTTCTAATCGTTAGTTTTTTTTTGTCACCAGGCTTGTGTTATTTTGTAGTAATTAAATCAGCTATTCTAGTCATTCAGGATGCAGCTATTTAGTTTTGTCTATTTCCATGAATGAATCTTTCTCAACCCCTTAATATTACTTTTCACAAGACTATTGTTATTTTATGGTAATTACATCAGATGTTCTATGTCTAGAATAGTTAGCTGTCTAGTGTAACTTGGTATTTCATTGAATGATATTTCATCTTTCTCTAGTCTTCTTCGCGTTCACCACCTGTAAACTCCGGTCTTCTGCTAAACTTTAGTCTTGTTCCAGAATCTGAATGTTGTGTGCACATCTGTTTTACAGATCTGACTTATTTGGATGCAAATTGCTGTTCCCTTGCCTCTCAGGCAGATGCATCCCACTTTAAAGGAAGCCCCCTTTAGTCGACTCTTACGACATGCTTCTTAGGGAGGCAGTGGGTCTATTCTTGTTTTCCTCACAATGGGCTTTCGGAACCCACACGTGGAACAACCCTTCTCTAATAACTCAGTATTTTTGGTCACCATTGTGGTAATTAAATCTGCTAATCAAACCATGTCCAAATGCCCTTAGCATTATTAATAGTGTGTGTCTTTACTGCTCAGGAAGAGAGACATTGAGGTTAAACAGAGATTTGTGACTTGAAGGCTTGATATGGGACATGTGAAGATTGGTCAGAATTGCTTAGTTAAAATTGAAATTACCACTGACATCATAGTTCTGTGGCATTATGTGTCATCAGTGTGTTGTTGGGTCACCAGCGTGTTGTTGGGTCACCAGCGTGTTGTTGGGTCACCAGCGTGTTGTTGGGTCACCAGTGTGTTATTGGCACACCAGTCTCATGAGTTTCCTCCACCTGTGTGGCTCGCATGCAAGGGACCTGATGTGTGCACGTCTGAGGCTTGTCAATTTAACCAAATTCTGAATCCAAGCCTTTCTTGGTCTGCCTCTTTGCCTCTTCAGAGCACTATACAATTGTTTTGGGGAGGCTCGTAGAACTTGATACATGTTGATATCCCTGCATTTTCCATCTTTCACTGTTAAAATTTGTCATGCATTCATAGAGAAGTGTGAACATCTGTGCATGTTTCTGGCCTATAATAATGATCATTATGTAGTGTGCACTTGCTAGTCAGCTCAGCAACCTTAATGAAATTCTCTGTTAAGCTAGGCTTTACACCAAGCTGCAATTAGTTTTTGGTCTTACCCATCATCATCAAGTGCCTTGCTGACTAGCTTGATCCTGCTTCTCTACGTTAGTATCATTGGCAGCATGTATCAGGCCCTGTGTTAACCGTTTTCTTATATTATTATCATTTCAAAAGGCTGTCAAGAATCTCATATTGTCTTTCTGTCTCTTTTGATTGTCATAACATGTTGAAGTCTTTGCTTTCTTATAATAGGTCCAAAACGGTGGAAGACATGGAAACCACTCTTGTATTTGTCTCTAGTTAAACCTGCTTCTCCACAAACTGAATTTAGTTTATGATGCCAGTGGCATTTCCACTGGAATCACCTTGTCTGGTAGGAAGCATCATGTACTACAGATGATACCTGACTGTCATCAGATATCAATCAGCAAGTCCTTTACAGAATGTCGCTTTCTTCACGGCACACCTGAAAGTATCCCTTTCTCTAGCCAGCTCTCCAGCCCCATGTGCTTTCAATGCCAATGCATCTTCGATGTCTTGTATCCATCTTTGCGGTGGTCGACCCCTGCCTTGCCTTCCACAAACTGCACCTTCCATCACTGACTTTTCCAAGCCACCATGACGCTTGAAGTGGCCAAAATACTTTAACTTTCAGGACAGGATGCTGTTTATGAGCCAGTTCTCCTTGATGTTCAACTCGTTCAGAATGTCAATGTTTTTCCTCTTCCTGATCCTTGGTCATCAGATATAAGCACATTAAATGGTTAAAAAACCTGGGCATTGTTACATGAAATATGTGTTTAACCCATACTTATAAAATACTTAAAATTTTATAAACCCCACTGTGAAGCAAGCGTGCTATTTCCATAAATGTTTCAACCTCCTTATCTTCCAATCCTTACACTCTGTAGTAAATACCTAGGAAGCTTGCCTGTGGAATAGATGGGGCATGCACACAGATCTGGTAATTGTGTGTGAAGGCCAATCATCGGCACCTATACCTGCTTTCCTTGATTCATTAATGTATCAAGCTCTTTTCATGTGAAAATCATGGTTGAGGCATCTTTTCATAGATTTTAGCAGTTTGAAGTAACATGTCTCTATCCTGTCTGATGTACACGTCGGTTCTGGGGCCCCATTTTGGGGGTGGGGGAAGAAGAATAGACCCACTGCCTCCCCCAACAACATGTCATACAGGGCGATTGATTAGTTTTTTCGTTTGAAGTTTTACTGCATCTGCCCAAGAGGCAAGGAATCACCAGTCTGCATACAAACAAGTCAGATCTGTAAAACGGATGTGCATGAAGTCCTCAAGTTCTGGAACAAGAATCAGTGGACAAGTAACCAGAGATTTCCGCCATAGTTTTTACACTAAGAAGAAGAAGTCCTCTTTCTTTTTTTTTTCTAGCCTGGGAGTCCAAAGTTGATGAAAAATTTGCTCTAAAGATGTTGTCAGAATTACTTTTGATCAGGTTCAGCCCTAGTTTGCTGTTGGTAAAGTCATTTGGCAACTCAGACTTAGGGGCTATGAATACGGTTACATAACGCGATCATCCCAGGCTCAGTTCTTCTTCTTTGTGTTCACCAGCTGTAAACTTTGGTGGAAAGTTTTAGTTGTTCCTTCACTTCTGGACTGCAGACCTGTTCCAGAACCTGAGTGTTGCATGTGCATCCATTTGACAGATCTGACACATTTGTGTGCAGATTGTTGGTTCCTTGCCTCTCAGGCAGATGCACTCTGACTTCAAAGGGAGCTCCCAATTAGTTGATTCTTGCGACATGCTTTTGGGTAGGCAGTTGGTCTATTCTTGGTGTCCCCACACCTGGGCCCTGGAACCCACACAGGGGAGGCTCAGTTCAACTGCAGGCCCTATAGCAGCAGACCTCTTGCGTTAATTTTGCCAATGGAATGAGCATTACAATGGCAAGCTACTGAACTTAAACTATAAAATTGCCTAATGAAACCATAGCTAAAAAATGCTGGGGGATCATTTGAGACATTCTATAAAAGTACATCTAAAAGTGAAGGTCCCTTTACACGTGTGGCACATCAGGCATATGAGGCTAGACTCAACATTTTTGTCGACCATTTGGCCCTCGATGAGCGTTGTGGTCAACAAAAGGATATATGCGAACAGAGAAGACACAAACAATAGATCACACAATTTATTGCCTGACATTTTTCGCTGTATCTCGACAGGTGCATACTACAGAAACAATTGCGTAAATGAAGCAAATAAATGAATCCTTTATAACGGAAGTACAGATTCAACAGCATCAAACACAACTGCCTGTTTCACCAGGGCAGCCACGGTGCCAGCGAAATATGCTAGGCAATCAGCTGTTTGTGTCTTTGTAAAGATTTACAACGAGGAAGCTTTGTTTTGATTTTCTAAAAGGATATATAACAAGCCTTTAAAAACACCTCTAAACTATTTTTCTTTCATTTTAAGATAGTCTTCATAACGCTCGAGAGTGCCTGAGGCTGGGAGTCCAGTGTGGTAGAACCAGTCGTGCTAGAGACATTGCTGCATGGGCTCGGAAAAAGAGAAAATGCATACGCAGAGATGAACTTTTGGCTTACTTGTGCGGTAAAAGTCTGCCACCCCATGCCCACAACAACAGAAGTAGACGGAGTATAGAGAGGCAAGTGCCTCGTCGCACATCTCATCCGAATGATGTCATTGACTCCATGGAATACCCAGTGAGGGAGACTATTGCTTTACAAAGTGAGTACAGATGTCTGTTTGCTTGTCTAATTGTTACTTACTTAGTTGCTCCTCTTCTACCTAAGGGTGTAGAGGTTTGCCAGAGATCCCCAGACTTCTCTATCTGCAGTTTTCTTTTTTGGCTTTGTTCCATTCAGTCCTCTGCCAGTCAGGGAGTGTTGGATATGGCCTATAAAAGTTTCCCAGCAGCTGCTTTTCAATTGGCTAGCTCTGTCTTAATGCTTCCATTCCGGTCTATTAAAACTCCAAGGTATTTGAACTGGTTGACCTGCTCCAATGCATATTGCCCCATCATGATCTGGTGTTTATTCTCCTCTCTTGAGATCACCATGGCTTTAATTTTCTCAAGCTCTTCATTCCAGACAAGTAAGTTGGCTTGAAGATGGGCCTCTGATTTAGCTGTTAGGGCCACATCATCTGCAAATGCCAGCTCGAATTTCAGCAAACTGTTGAAAGTAAACATTGCCTAGTGAGATTGCAAACATCCAAAAAATGCTGTAGTTAGTTCTGCAACATCCTGTAAAGGATATGCAACTAAACATTTTAACCCTGATCTTCAGGTTTATCCAGCCTTAAACTGGGTACCAGAAAATGGTTTGGGAAGTGGAAGTTGCCACTGTGATACCGAACACATCGGGGCGAGCATCATATGCCCAAAATTCAGTGTAATGTTCTGCTGCAATCATTTGTATTGATACAGCTCCTTCATTTTTCATTTTTTAAATGTAAATCGACATAATAAATAGTGACAAGTAAAAGTGTGTTTTTAAGGACTTTATTTGCAGAAATTTCTGAAGTATATGAATTATGAGATCTTGGCATTTTTTCTAGCTCACCCAGGTGAAAGAGCTAATTCTACAGCCAGCAATCCAGGGTTTTATAATAAAATTTTAATTTTCTAGATAATTATATTATATATATTATATATATCTATATATATATATATATATATATATATATATATATATATATATATATATATGTATCTATATATATGTATATATATATAACTATCATCATATATTTGTATATATATATATATATATATATATATATATATATATATACCACGAGAATAGTGCAGGCTATTCAAATGGCGGCCTTTAGGTCACATCTGACCGCAGAGCTCTAACAGGTGGCTCAAGCCTATGGCCATTAGAAAATGTTGACCCCTGAGTAAACCTTAATAGCCTTGGTCTAGTAGTTAGTGTACTAATCTCTCACATTAAAATAAAGGACTTGTATTCTACGGTAAGGAAAATAACATATATTAGTCAAAGATTAAATATTTTTTGCTAGTCAAAATGACTACACATTAATTTATAAGTTTTTCTGGGTCGATGGTGCTAAATTTCGGAGCTTATTGTGGATGTTATTTCTTTAGCTATGCTAGGCTACAATTAACAAACCATATGAGAGTCCTGCAGAATATATTAGGATACAGTTGTATTACATAGCGAATGCTTATATATGAAGCTTGGCCCCAGTGATATGAAGCTCAGTGCTTGTAAGCCACCGCCTCCTTACTAAGTATATCAATTCAAAAGTCATCAGTAGTAGCCCTTAAGGAATGCCTCAGTTATGTGCCCACACTTTGAGTCACCAATAACCTATACTATACATAATAGCTGACTAGAGGCGGACTATGCTCACTTCAGTACGCCTCCCGACCCAAGGTTACAATCAGCCTCCAATGCGATCAGGAACACATCTATCGCATTTGGATCATAAAGGGATGTTGGGCTCTCATCTTTGTCTCCATTAAATACACTCAACTGGAGCATTCCAAAATATACGCTAAATTGTAATGAACAATCAAAGTTTTGTCCACAAAAAATAATACACATAATTACAACTAAAAGTCACACACGTCTTAACTCATATCACAGGCTAGTGGGCACTAACTGGACAACCACAGATTCCTTCCAGCCCATCGTCCGGCCACGCATGACTCTCGCAATATCCGTGCAAACCCTGTAAGGCCTGAAACTCCAGAAACACCTATTTCCCAACTTCATGCACGGGTTGGACCTTTTTGCACTCGTCTCTCAGCATCCCTGTTACTACCTTCATCCAGGGCCTTTACGACTGGCGTAGGCGATCACGCCTCTGATGCCTGGTACAATTGAACCACAAAGTGAGTTTAGCACACAAGTTGACAAAACAGATCAGAGTCCTATTGAATACGTTGGTCTGCAATTTACAGCTTCACGAACAGTCCTACTAATAAATATGGCTACAAAAACACATCCTACAGAATATGTTAGGCTGCAATTGACGACCATTTGATAGTCCTATAGAAATATTAGGTTGACAAAGACATAATAATCCTACTAAATATGTTCAAGCTACACCTGCTGAGGACAAGGTACAAGTGCTTGATAGTTGTTCAGAATAAATGGAGTGTTATATTTTGTAATTGTTAACTTCAAGGTGCCTCACTAGTTTGGTTTGAATAATGCATGTAATTAACTAAAACAGAAAATGTTGAGCCGTTGTTGACTTTGTTTAACCAAATCATGTACCCTATTTTTTTGGGAAAAATAAATATGGTTTAGTCATCTGGTCAGAACGGGACAAAATCAGCCAGCACCTAAAGCCTACTACCTAAGAACAGCAAGCTACAAATCAAGAAGCCGACCAAGAAAGAGATGGGTGGATTGAGTAAGAGAGACACCACAGAAACACAGCGTGACACTAACGCAAGCTGTGCAACTAGCAAATGACAAGAACTACATCTAACTAATCTCTGCAACACTTTACGGCATAAGAAGTAAGAAAAAAAAAGGAAAAGATAAGTAATAGACCAGCTGCCTTCTAACAGGTATGTTGCAAAATACAACTGATTGGGGATTTACTTAAATCAGATGTGTTAGGCTGAAAGGCACAGAACAAACAGACTTTATTTTCAAATGGTTAAGAATTTGGAAAGCAGGCCCATCTAACATCCTGCCCTTCCATTCCACTCCTTGCATACAGTATTCATTCATACATCGTTTCATAGTTAATAAAACAGTGTTAACAATATCTAAGTCTTAATTATAAATGCTGGAATGTGCTCTAATTATACTTACATTACTGAACTTTTTAAAATGATAGATAGACAGACTAGATAGATAGATACATACATACATACATACATACATACATACATACATACATACATACATACATACATACATACATACATACATACATACATACATACATACATACATACAACATGTATGTATGCATGCATGCATGCATGCAAACATATACGTGCGTGCGTGCGTGCATGCATGCATGCATACATACATACATACATACATACATACATACATACATACATACATACATACATACATTCATAGACAGACAAATAGACGAGACAGACAGACAGGAAGAACAAACTTTTTTTTCAAAGTGTTAATAATCGGGTACGCAACAGATTGCAACAAAGCTGTAAACTCAACACAGTGAGCCAGTCACTCCTTTAAAAGCAAAAGAAAATGAAGATGTCATCCACTTTGTCGTGATGTTTTTGCATTTATAATCACATACAAATAAACTTATTAATTTAGCTTTTAAAAGATGTTTATTGTAAAATGGACAATTTCGAAAAGTATCTGTACCAATGTTTAACATTATTTATTTCTGTTAACTAGATTTAAATGGTGGAATATCAAACAACATGAACCACAGTCGACCAAGCATCAACTCTTCCTGCACTGGTAGCTCTTTCTCTAAGCCACCTGTGATGGATGACTACATCTATCCTGACGACAGGGTCTGGAACTCGGAGGCGAGAAAGAGGAGTAGTTCCTTCTCATCCACTGATGTCAACATGGAGTCCCCATCAAGAAAGAGAGGAAGATTTCAGTGATGACATTTTTTTGGGTTTAATAAACTTCTGTATCCGTAAACTTTAATTGATAACTATTTCTCTGTTAAAGAGAGCATAAACACAATGAAATCACATGATTTTTTTTCACTGTTGTTAAATTTGACATGAAATACAGAAAGGAACATGTTCTTTCACAGCTGTTTCTATGTTTTAATAAGTGCAGCTGATGGTAATAGGGCATGGTATACCTGTAGCCACGTATGAAGATGTCACAGAATGTTTTCATAGTCATTGTTTACTGGTGGTGACAGTTTTAATTTCTGCAAAGTTCACAATCATTAATCTGTTCAGTACACAGTACTTCCTCAAACAAGAACAGAACATTCAGTATGTTGTGAAAATCCTGTAGCTGAAGATATTTATTGCTCAGGAATCTCTTAGAAAACAATCAGGCAAAATAATCAACTCTTTTAGTTAAATGTAGTTGTTACTACATCACTTTCAGGGCTAGTGTCTGTATGTTTTAGAGTACCAGTAATTGAGTGTTAATTGTCCAGTTGCACAAGAATTTGTGGTTGTCACAAATGGGAAACAGTGGCCACACTGAATTAAGCATAGTGTATTACTTTCAGAAGGGCAAATATATTTCACTACATATTAAAATATTTAGTCAGATTTCTGTAGTATGTTCAGACCAAACGAAAAATTTATAACAAGACATTATGCATTGTTTGATATACATAGACAGAAGCTAATCATGTGTGATGTATTGTTTTGGACTTGAGGAGTTAGTGAGTTAAGATAATGATTTAACATAAGTCTTAGTAACAGTTGAGGCAGCTTAGCTTAATGTGACACGAATGGGGTAGAAGTTATAATGCATACACCAGGAATTTATTATATTTATTCTTCTGCCTTTTATCTCCCAGTGGAGTATGGGCCTTCAAATCAGTCCAGTGTTGTTTGTTATGGTAGGAATTTTGGGCTGACTTTTGTGTGTAGGCTGGGGTAGCCACTCATTGGCCAGGAGTCCTTAGTAATCTCTGACAACATTTAGGGCAGGTTACTGTGGTACTGTTTCTTAATTCCATTGTGGGCCCTAATTAAAAAGAACTATTGAAGGAATTGCCTAAAATAGGTAAAGTGAGAAAAATGAATATGTAGTTTGTTGTACAGAATAAATGAAATAAATGGTATAAAAATCACTAAGGTGAGCTCCGGGAAACAAATTCCACTGAATCAAGAAGTGAAGAAAAGATGCTGGCATTGAATAGGACACACATTTTGAAAAGATGAGAACAGTATAATAGAATGTCTCACTGGAGGAGAAAGGTCATAGAAATAAAGGCAGACCACAAAACACATGGAGGAGGAGTTAGAAAGTGAAAGTTGAAGAAAAAGAAAGATAGGAAGGGCATGAGTTGAGCTAAGTGCAATAGTGAAGGATAGGATGACTTCGCGTGAGTTGGTTGAGGGCCTAAGCTCCACTGGGGCACATGGATAGATTAAACACTGCATGAAAAAGGCATTATTTGAGAACAAGTGCAGAAAATTAAGTATCTAGGCAGATTAATAACATCTGTTGAAATATGTATCACAGAGATAAAGAGCAGAATATAAAAGTGCACTGTATAAAATAATAATTTTATACAGAAAATCCATGTCATTGGAGGTTAAGAAAATAATTCTTGCCTGCTTGGTAGAGCCATTTTCAACACATGGCTGTGAATCCTGAATTCTTATGAAAAGAGGGACACTGGAATATGTGATCACTGGAAAGCTCTGTCCAAAGAGAGACAGAGAAAGACAGTGCAAGAAGATTGTTGACGGTCTTTTATCATGGCATGGAGGGGTGTCAACACAAGAACTGATACATGCAGATTGCAGATTGTAGGGAGGCATTATTCAGCGAGGCACATGATTATGATGGAAAAGCTCATTGTGAAGAGGTTAGTACAGTAAATACATTACACTAAGTAGAAAGCACTGGTTGTTAGCTAGTTGTCAGTGTACTGCTTATGTTTTCGAGTCTATAAGAAATATACTCATTGAGTCAGTACAAAAAACCCACTATGATTTTGGTCTCGCTGTTGGAGGAGGTGTTGGTGTAGACAAAGCAGGTTACCCAAGAAATTCGTCAGCACATTGCATCATCTCAGAAGCACCAATAAAGATCCTGTTGTGTATATACAGAAATCACTTTTCTTTTTCTGTTTTGTTATGGCTGGGTTTTCTTATTTTAAAAGTGTTACCAGGGTAGCTACTATGCCTGCCAGAAGATTCATATGGTATGTGTATTAAACACAGTATACTCGTGGACCAGGAGCCACGATGTGGTAGTGATTAGATGCTTGTCTGCCAGCCCAAAGGTCTGGAGTGCCAAAAAAAACATTGAGCATTTTTGTCATAAATGATTTTGTCTCAGAAAATGGGTATGGTAATGTTTGGGGAAGTAAACTCAGCCTGCCAGAAGCTTCGTATCGGATTTGTATTAAACATAATATGCTTCTAGACCGGGAACCTGATGACGTAGTGATTAGACGCATGTCTGTGGGCCCAAAGGTCTTGGCTTCAAATAACCACTGAGCACTTTTGTCAGAAATGATTTTGTCTCCCAAAATGGGTACCAGGTAAAGTCATCTGAAGTAAAGGTAGCTAGCATGATGCTGACCACATCACTGATCGATGACCAATTGGCCTATCTTCTTCTTCTTCAGCGATCTCTGGTCATGCGCATAATCCACTGTGGGTCATAAACTGGGATGTCTTTTGAAGGTCTCTTAGGTTTCCCCAAAGCTTAGTTGTCAGGAAGCCGCGGGGCTGTTGGTGGCTAAGGGTAAACCTGTTTGAGATGTGAGAGCGAGTCCCGCTTTCACTTGATTGTTACCCAACGTGGTGGTACCACTATTGGATAAATATTTGCGCATGGCCATTGAGTTAACCGTATGTGTTGATTCCTCCCCACCAAATATATGGTTGACACATTCCGTTTCTGGGGACAGCTTTTATCGAGTTTGCTCTCTAGACAGTTGCAGTCCCCTGCTGACGAGATTCTGTCTTCCCGAGTGGGCCGCCGCGATCAAAACATTGCGAAGGCAGCGTGGCCGAGGCTGCCAAAACTATCAGTCATTATCCCGCCCCGACACAGCACAACCACAATACACGCTGTTCCCACGAAAAACACATAATATCCTGCGTTGGAAATGTGCATAAAATAGCAGTCCATGATTATAGAACAGAATAATCCGAGAGAATTGACAGCCAGCGACAATAAACACAGCTGCTGTCCGCCATTTTGAAAACGGAAGTCAATTGGCCTATCAAAATCTAGCATCATATGCCCGATGTGCCATTGGCGTGAAAATAGTCCTTACTTCGCGCCCCCCCCCCCCCCCCCCCCCCAAAAAAAAAAAAAAAAAAAAAAACTAAAGCGTACCCCCAGTTTACTATGTTCATCTAAGTATACCAAGCAGTCTCATTATTTCTGTGGTCAGGTAGAAAGAGCCACTATTTCCTGATTTTGGTCATAGTTGTAGTTCCATTGCTAGGGTTCACCTGACACTATTTGAATCAAAAATTGACACTCCATCTCTTTAGGTGCACACATTAACTCCAAGTTGCCATGATTCTCTGAGAAAACCAAGCAGTCTCTATCCGTGGGATCAGAAAGGAAGAATCGTTAGTCCCTAGGGTTTGCCATCAGTTGTAATGCTAATGTTGGTATCTGCCCAGCACCATTCTGAATGAATAATTGACACTGACCTCTTTGTATGCACAGAACTTCTGATTTGTCCTAGTGCCTGCCTTAGAAAAACCAAGTAATTAAACTATTTCTGTGATCGTGGAAGAAAAACTATTAGTTCTCAACAATTGCCTTCAGTAATTTTTCAGTACTGAGTAATAACCATAACCCTTTGAATTAAATGACATGTTAGCTCCTAGTCACTATGTACCCTTCCCTGTGTGGATACTGGGGTCCTATTGTGGGGAATACAAGAATAGAGCCACTGCCTCCCCAACAAACATGTAATAAGATTCGACTAAATGGGGACTTTCTTCAAAGTCATAGTGCATCTGTCTAAGAGGCAAGAAACCAACAGTCTGCATACAGATAGCAAGATTGTAAAATGAATGCACATGCAAAACTCAGGTCCTGTAACAAAGTCCAAGCAACAACAACTATGGTCCTGTCAATTAGGTACAGAAATAAGCCTGGCTGTTTAAAAAAATAAAAATAAGAGGAACATATGTATAGAGGTTTCAGAATATTCTTTGATTTGCACCATTAGAATGTGGACTAGCCACAGAAAAAAACAGAATACCTGGGTGAGCAGTCAATGATCCATGTTTGCTTTTTCTTTTGAAATTTTTATTTTGTCAGATTTGAGGCAGACATATTTAAATTAAGTCTTTGTTTCTTTCTCTGCTACTATGCAGTTACAAAAACAAAAGAAATTTGGCAAATATAAATATTTCTATTTAAAAATATTAGTTAGGCACAAAACATGATAACACTGCTTTGCAGACCAGATAACATAATTTAAACATACCTGTTTCTTATCCATTCATCATTATAATAAGTACAACTAGGTGTGTATAGAAAGTACCAAGAAAGTACCAGATAGAAAAAAAAAACACACATTAGTTCTGCTATCTCTACTTATCTTCCTGAGGGCCAGTCAATGCAATATATGTTAATTTGTTTGTATTACTGTTTCTTTGGCCATAAAGTTTGGTAGCCAGCACTTGTACTTACTCACAACACTTTCTGTCTGTGGAAGTTTAACAACAGCCTTCATGATTATATAAAATGGTCACAGCTGTCCATTTTACCACTTTTTAAGGCAGTGTAGACAGGGGGTCGTGAGGGTAAGGATTTTATAGCCGCTAGGCTAGTGCTGTCGCCACGGACTGTGCTGGTTAGGATGTTTAATTATATATTGTAACAATATGTGACTCTTACCTCACCTTTGTTATAAAATTTTTTAAACTAATTTGATTGGCTGTACATGTACAACTTATTCACACTGAGAACTTTC